ATATATATATGTATGTATATGAAATTATTTCATTGTCTTAGTACTAATTAACTTGTAATCTTTATTTCCAAGACTCTAGAGTAAAAATTAAGTTGAGTAAAGGAAGTAATGGTATGTATGTGTGTATAAGATATATAAATAAATAAAAATTATCCATGCCCCTATCAACTCTCTCCTTCCATAAATACTTATTGAATTAAATTAAAATTTTCTTCTTTGCACTTAGGCTATAGCATTTTTCTTTCTTTCCATACCTCTTTCCCACTTCACTTTCACAAAAGTCTGTGTCCTAAAACCTAGTTGTTATGATTTAGGTCTAAAGTGCCCCACCCCAAATTCTCGTGTGTGTGGAAGGTAATGGGATCATGGAGATGCTATAGCTGACTTGCTGTTATTAGGCGGGAGTTGGTTGGAGGTGGTCCCTGAGCGTGTGAACCGAAAGGCTATATTTTTGTCCCTGGCTCCTCCACTCTTTCTCTGCTTCCTGGCCAGTGAGCACCTTTTCCCCCTCCAAGCCCCTTTCCCATCCTGTTTCTGTCTTGGAGCCATGGACTGAAACCCTAAGTCAAAATAAAACACTCTTCTTTTAAGTCGTGGGAGTTTGGTGTTGTGTCTTAGAGACAAAAAAGTGACTAAGACACTATTTCAGACCTATATCCCTGTGGTCTACTCTATAGACCCAGACCACTGCTCTCTGTAGTCTTTCATACCTATTTCTTATTTCTCCTCATACCCAAAACACTCTCAAGCATTCACAGCTCCACAAATATTCAACTTCTCACCTCACCTCCTCAGAACAGAGCATTTCCAGACTATCCTATGAATGTCAGAAGAGGTACAGGGAAAGTGAGATTTCAAGCAAGCACGTAAGCCAGAAGCAGAAGAAACCAGGCCTGTCCAGGGGGAGGAGTGTTTCTAGAGAAAGAAGCACCTAGGAGACTATTTACAGACCTGACTTCTGAACCTGATGCATGTCATAGTCACAGCCTTGCTTTTATGTTTCCAAAGAAAAAAATATTGCTGTAATTTGTGTATGGCATATCTGGTGATTACCAAAATGGCGACTTCCCCATCACCTGGAATACAACTGAAACAATTACCAGTGAGGACCATCCCGACTTAAATAATGGGTATCCCTGTTGATCTTAGAGGGAAGCACCAGGCCATCTAGAGTTGCTAATGTTAATATAGTTTTTCACTTTGCCCAACATTGAAGTGACATTTTACCAGCACCCTTCTGTCTGTGCTCACTTTAGGAAGGAGGCATTCACTGAAGACCGGGGTGCCCGGAGGGGAGTAAAAAAAGTCATGGTTGTTGTGACTGATGGAGAGTCACATGACAACTATAAACTGAATAAGGTCATCCAGGACTGTGAAGATGAAAACATTCAGCGATTTGCCATAGCCGTAAGTACATTTCTAGGGATGGTTTTCAAGCTGCTGTGTGAAAATGGGGGCTGTGCACATATCACAGGAATTTTAAGAAATAAACTTCTCCATTTGAAAGTGAACTATAGGGGTTAGGGTTGGGTTTTACTCCCTTCTGTGACATCAGCACCCAGCATCGTCCCAGGTCAAGCATTCAGCACAACCATGAAGGAAAGGAAGGAAGAAAATATATTTTTAAAAATAAAAGGAGCAGTAAAAAAAGGGATAAAGGAAAGAAAGATAAAATGGGAAGAGAATGGAAATTAAAAATTAGATGTAGAGAAGGAAAAAGGAAAGATGAAAAGGCTGGAAGAGTGGGGAATACAGGGAAGATGGAGAAGAGGAAGAAATAAAAGGGCAAGGGAGGGAGGGAAGAAAACAAAACAAAAAAAAGTGGGCCACTGAAGATATAAATCCATTGGTGATAAATCCATTACTTGCTAACTAATAGTTTTTCCTGAAATTTGAGAGTCTGAAATCAAAACATAACTTGTATAATCTGTGAAAAATCCACAGTGATATACTCATACTTACAGTCTGCTCTTGGATTTATGATGTCCCAAGGTCCCTCCATTCTACAGTCAACCCAATAAAACAGAAATTTGTTATTAATGCCTTGGGCTGTTCCTTCTGTTCCATCTCCCCTGATGCACACCACCACCACCATTTGACCCTGTACAACAGGGAGATGTGTTGGTTGGAAACAGCTGCCAAAAAAAGATTATTGATAAACAAATGCCGTATGCTAATACTGCAAACAATTTCTCTATAAAAAAACAGTGCTTCTGTCTTCATAATTTAGTTTCAAAAAGAAATGCCTTAATTACTTATTTTTTAAATTACCAATTAAGTTTATTACTTAGTCCTATATAAGTCTGAATGCATATTCATATATATGAATATATATGCATATTCGTATATATGTATATATATTTTATATATGTATATATATGTATATATATAAAATACATGTGTATGCATGTATGCTAGACAGTGTCTTGGTAAGATTTTCAGAAAGAGCTACTTGTTCATGATCAAACAACTTGCTGAATGCTTCTACCAACCATCTGGTGATGTCACTAGCTGGAATAACATCAAAGACATTTAGAAACTATAACGTTACTTTTGAACTGTCAGATTTCAAAGATACAGCCATTAATAAACAGGGACACAGAACTGCAGAAGGAAAAATGTACAATATTTTCCTATACCAGTGACTGTGTTTATTGAATATTAATATTAATGTTCTGTAAATCACTCTTGCACAAATATGGCAATTCATAAAAACTAAATTATGCTAAGGTACTCTCCACACTCTGGTTTACTGCCAATACATTTGACATCCTTATTTAACACATAGAAGTTAAATTATGTTCTTGCTGTTTTTGCTGTGTCTTAGATTCTTGGCAGCTATAACAGAGGAAACTTAAGCACAGAAAAATTTGTCGAGGAAATAAAATCAATTGCAAGTAAACCCACTGAAAACCATTTCTTCAATGTCTCTGATGAATTGGCCCTGGTCACTATTGTTAAATCTCTGGGAGAAAGAATATTTGCCCTGGAAGGTATGGACTATTTCTTCTAACCCTGGATGTCCTATCTGCAATTCAAACTCATTGTAATGGGTCTTTGGTATTTATTTCTAGCATATCACTAATCCATTTTGACTGTATAGTATAGTCAGCGTGGCACAGTTTCCTTTTATAGAAATGTGTCACTGAGCTGACCATTTCATGTAGAATGGTCTCTTTGTAAGGGCATGGCCGTGCTAATGAGAGAGCCCGTGAATATAAGCCAGCAGTCAGTGCAGACGTGCAAGAACAAAAGTTCCCATGTACTTTATTCCCTTTCTGGACTATGGAGCCACAGTATCAAAATTTGTCTTTCCATTTTTTTCCCCATTTAGAGCTACTATGAGAGTGGTCTGAAGGAATAACTTCTTTGTTCATCCATTTTCTCTGTGTTTTACTCTTTGCACAATTTAAAGGTCTTCCTGGAGCTCTGCCTCAAGTCCTGTGCCACTGAAACTTCCCTTCTCAATGTCTAAATCTTGTATCTTTGTAGGATTTTTTTTCTCCTCCCGGGTAACTGGTTATTGAAGATATTGAGTCATGCTGTTCTCTCCTCTGCCTTAGGTAGGGGATGTCAAATTAACAAATTACTCTGGATCTAGATATCTCCTGACAAAAAGGCCTCAGAATTCTCATGACAGGAAAACTGGCATTTTCTCTGAAGCCTCTTTCTTCATAGTCTCTGAAGATCTGGAGTCTCAGGGAGCGTGTGGATGTTTCCACTAGGGGGAGAACCCATGGAGAATGCTTTTGCCCTTACGCTGCATCCACATCCAGTGAATCTTTTAGAGAGGGCATGCTAGGAATAGAAATGTAAAAGGCCTCACTCAGTCTGTTTGACACACCCTGAAAATAGCAAATAAAGATAAAATGAGAATGAGACAGAACTGGAAAAAAAAAAAGGTGGACCATTTTGGTTGAGCATCAGGGGTCTAACAAAATGCAGAAAAAGTTACTAACAGAATATTAAAATGTATAGAAAGAATGATTTAAAATAATGGCATTCAAAGATCATGGAAGTATTTTGGTCTGCAACCCAATGATCACACAACTATAACTATAAGAATAAAACTAACTCCTGTATGCAATGTTTTGTAATAGTTTCTCATCTCTTTTTTTTATTCCTTCTCTTTCAATGAAAAAATATTGGCTGTGCTCATTCTGCTTATTTTAAATGTAAGTCACAATAAGTACTTAGAAAATTTGGTTTATAGATTCCGGGGATTGACAGCCCAGCAAGACTGAATTTCTGTGCCCCCCTTTGCCCTGGGTCCTTTTCTTCTGTGCCTTTAGAAACAGAAAACTAAAATTCTGTAGCAAACTGAAGTTGCAGCTGCTTATAAAGAGCTCAGCTCTTTTTCTGTGTTCAAGTCATTTTAACTCGATTTTGGTCTTGCAGCAGCCATTCTGCTGTCATTTGCCAATAGGCCAGGCCATGAGCTTGCTTGGCCTTTTAAAAAAACTTTTTCCAAGATATTTTGTACTTTTAATAACACAGGCCAAGAAATAATCTGTAAAGATAATTTAAAAGAAAAATTATTCTGTTACTTGAGATGGTTAAACATGATGAGTACCATTTCTTAGCAAATAATATGACCCAGGACTGGCAGAAATGAGCTTGCATCATGTTGGGGCAGGAGTCAGTTTGATGGAAATAAGATTTTCAGATTCTGTCTAACCTAAAAACACCAGAGGTTAAAAATTCCATATTGATGTGCCCAAGCACTTTAAAAAGTCTTTATATTTAAAAACAAAATTATTTTTTAAGGCCCTCCACCAATTAAAAATATCTTCCATGTCTTTTGCTGTGCTATCAAAGCTAGATGATTCTTTTTCTTTCTGAATGAGCTTTTTCATATAGACCTTTTCCTTGTAACTTGGGAAATCTGCATTTCCTGTCAACACTTAGCTTTAGATGGTAAATAGCTGAAAGTTGGCTTGCCAAGGACAGTGCCACCTAGTGAGGCAAACAAACCAAGGCCTGGTCAAATAAAACCAGGGAATAGTCCAAGATCTGCCTTTCCTGTTAAGTCCTGTAAGAAATACTGAAGTCCCCAGTCAGAGGCTGCTCAGGGGTTAGAGTGGTTGGCTCAGCCCCTTGGACAGTGCGAGGAAGGACTTAAACTCAGAAACAGAGATAAGCAGCAGGCTCTTATCGTGGATGTCAGTGGAGCAGGCCAATGTCACATAGCTTCCTTCTGTCTGTTCCCACCTGGAAACAAGACAGCAGCGGATTTCTGCTCCTGCATTCTTGCCTGTTGGTCTTGCAAAGATAAGGAAGTACCTTAAAGAAATGTGTACGTAAAACACAATTTTAAATAAAATTATGTTCCAATCTTTTAGAGGACAATTCACGTTACATCACTATGGTGCATTTGAATTCTTGATTGATTACCCTACTTAATCTAGTCAGTAAAAAGCCAATCACTGATGTATTTGTCTACATTTTTATGCCAGTAAATAGTAAACATGTTTAATTTCATATATTTTTTTTCTGCCCCTCTTGTTAAGGCAAGCTGACTTTTCAAAAATTATGTGATATTTTTAACTTATCTTCAAGGCCGAATAAATCAGTAACTCCCTCCTGGAAGCAAGTAACTCAACATTCCCTCATTTCCCTCAGGAAGTTGTGGCTTAAGCTCATGAACATTTAGGGAAAAATTTGAGAGTAGTGTACTTCCATAGAATGCTCTGGATTGTCTCTGTATTTCAGTAAACAACTCCCAAATGGTCAGAGAATCTTTGAAAAATATGTGTTCAGATGGCATGTGGCCTGAAGCCCTATCAAAAAGTTCCCGCCCTCTGTTAGTGATACCCACAGCCAGCAGTTAGAGCAAAATGCAAACAGAATTCCTTAACCCTCTATCAAACAATGGAATTTTCAGAGGATCTGTAGCCTAAAATATGGATGGAAATGATGGAGCTATTTAAATCTACTTAAATAAGTAAATTAATTTTTTTTCAGCCCCATAAGATATCAAGTAAATTTGGCATAGGCAAGGTTCTCAAGTCACAAGAGGAAGCAGAGGTTTCATACTATGATAATTCATGTTTAACACATGGACCCAAAGCATTATAGGAGCCACAGCATGGTGGAGTGGAAGGATGGAGATTCTCCTCTCCTCCAACAAGGCTGGGGAAGCTAATGAGAAGATTCAGAGACAGAAGACCTTTCGCTAACCTTCTCTGTCTTCTGCTCAGCCCTGCTTGGGAATTTTGGGTTAAGAAATGCATGACTGAAAATATCCTGAGATGTTAAGACTTCTGGTTGGTAAGACTCCAGACTCTACCAGGTCTCTGTGTCCTGCAAGGCAGCAGTGCACTTGAAATCATTGTTAGTTACTTATGGTGATATTTTCCTATGTTGCAGCTACAACTGACCAGTCAGCAGCTTCATTTGAAATGGAAATGTCTCAGACTGGCTTCAGTGCGCATTATTCACAGGTATGTTGATTAGTAGGAAATGAAATACATTTTGGTAGGATTTCCTCCTCCCAAAACAACACCCAGCTATCCGCATTACAGTGTGTAGCAGTTCATGGCATTAGCAGTTATGAAGGTCATAACAAATGTTTTTTAATTCAAAAAGGAGAAAAGGACTCCCATATTTTACTAATACTTGTGCATCAGACAATTCGATCTCTGATTTATAGAATACTTCATTTATTTGCTAAAGCTATGAAATATATCATTTTCTCAATGTCAGGGTATCAAGGGTCTTGCTAGAATACCTTAGGATTCTAAGTCTTATGATTTTTTTAAGAATAAGCAAGGGGAAAAGGGAGGAGAGAAGGAAAGAAGGGAAAGGAAAGGAATAAATATGAGAAAAGGAAACAAGGTCTTTGTAAATAGGGAGCAGTGGAGGTGTTGAAGGGAGGGCAGGGGAATGGGGAAAAAAATAAGAACAAAGATATATCATGTACAAAGTCCCAATGATGAATGCCATCATATTGTATACCTAAAATGTACCAATAGACTTAATGAATAAAAACAAAGAATAAAGCAGGAAGACAATATCAGAAAATGCGTTATTTGTAGTGGGTGGAGGAAAAGGCATGATGGTGTTTCTAAAGGAATATTGACATTTTAGTATGCCATCATACTTCTAAACTTGGGCACATTTCGTGCTGTGCCTTGGTTTCTTCTGTAAAGTGGGGAGAGTAATAATGGCATCTAACCTATAGGGTTATTGTGAGGATTATATCGGTTAATATATGTAAAGCCCTTTGAACAGTACCTATCATTTAATACTGTCTAATTGTTTCCTCATCATTTTTATTGAATATCATTGTTTTCTTTATTTGCATATAAGGACTGGGTCATGCTTGGGGCAGTAGGAGCCTATGACTGGAATGGAACAGTTGTTATGCAGAAGTCTCATCAAATCATAACCCCTCCAAACACAACCTTTCAAATTGAGTCTACCAAAATGAATGAACCTCTTGCTTCTTATTTAGGTAAGGTCTTTATTAATTATAGAAGTTTATTTATGTATTTATTTTCTATTACTTGCTTATATTTCTATAGGTTTAAACCATGTACTAAGATCACTTTGAAGAGTTAAGCAGTTTAGGGACCTGTGAAAGGTTTCAGACCTCCAAATAGCCTTAGTGAGTCAAAGTCACAGAACCTGGAGGTCAGTGTTTCTTAATAGTGGTATTTAATGCAAGGAATAGTAGAAAACATGAGGTCTCCCTCTATCTGATACTGTCTTTAAATTCAAGAAGAGATGACCTGGTGGAAAGGAAATAAAGGTAGAAAAAAGAAACCTTGGCTTTGCTAATATCCTAAAGACTAGAGTCTCATATTCTCTTAAATAACTTTTATCATTAGTTTCTTTCTACGGCTCCTGATTTTGAAAGAAAAAAAGAATTTCAGGCCTCTTTTAAAATAGTGCTATTTACAATCAGTCAAAGACTTGCCAGGAAGGAGAAGGCATATGTCTGATTCCCCCTTCAGGATCTGTTCCAGTCTGGAAGATTCCCGCGGGACACTTCTTTGTCACTGGAAAAAGATCTCCATGAACAGTTGGGAGAACCTGAATGGAAAGCCCCCTCAGCATATGGTTTCCTAACTCTCAGTCAGCAAGTATTTTTTTGAGCTACTTTTTTGCTCCAAGCATTGTTCTTGGTTCTGGAAATGCATTGGTAAAGAAAACAAGTACTTTGGCCTTAAAGTGATCACATTTTTAGCAAGTTACCATTTTCTCTGTGGGATCTTTGTGATCTGGGGGATAAAAGTTGTTCTCTCTATAAGCCATTTTTTTTTCTATTTTATGAAGAAACTGGCAGGTCTTTATTGGCCCTTTCCTCTGTGTTCTTATTCAAGAATATTGAAAATTGTAGAGGCAGTGAGACAAGAATAAAAAACCTTAGGATTTAGATGACTAATAATATATTGCAATGATAAGCAGCAGAGACAATATGACTGCTAAAACTTCTTGAGACATATGGAACTGAGTTAATGAAATTCTTTTTTTATTTTTATTTTTATTTTTTGTGGTACCAGGGATCAGAACTCAGCCCCTTGTGCTTGCAATGCAGGCAGCAGAACCATTGAGCCAAATCCCCAGCCCTGAAATTCTTATCATATTCTGCCCTGATCAGACAACAGCTAGAATATTGCATTGTTTTAAGTATCATGTATCCCAAAGATAAAATGATAAATTAAGATGTGCCAGTAAAAGATTATTTAGGGAATGCAGATCTGGAAACATTTCTCTGCTATAAGCCTATCTTTCTCTTAAAACATGAAGAAATTGGAAATAGAAAACAAAGTATACATTGCATGTCTTTGAACTATTGGGAAGATTGTGGAGTAAAATTTAAAGGTTGGGCTTAAAATTCTGATCAAACTTTATCATTAAGAGAGATCTTAGTATATACTCAAACATTTCCAAATTAAAAAACTGTAGGATGGAACAGTTATATCACAGTCACCTATGGCATATTTGAACCAACAATCTACAATCTATTGTTTCATAATTATTCTAGTATCATTTCACCATACAAAATACCAGATTCTGGCTTAAGAAAATGCCACATAAATGTTAAGTATAGGTAATGTGCCAAACATTGAATTATAAGTTGAAAATAGCAAGATGAATAAGGTATCTTTTTTTGATGAGAAAGAATGAAGAAATAAGCAATCATTATTAGTATTTTATTGCTGTGTCACAAAACAATGGCACAAAGGGCAGAAGGTTGGGTTATATATCTTCCAGAAGTTCTTCATATCCTAAGATTCTATGGGACAGTTTTATGTGAAGTATTTTTAATCAATTAACCCAAGGCCTCTTTTCTAAATAAACAACTATAGAAAACTTATGTATACATATAATGGATGGCCTATAAAGTGGTGTAGCTCCTTAAGAAAGGCATTAGGGCCAGGGATTTAGCTCAGTGGTTCTGCCACCTGCCTTGCAAGCACAAGGATCTGAGTTCGATCCCTGGTACCAAAAAAAAAAAAAAAAGACAAAAAAGAAAGGCATTTGACAATATATTTACTGAGTCCTGAAAGAGATCACAATAGTCAGTAAATTTCACTTTTGCATGTCCAACCTAAGAAACAAATCCAGTATTAATACCACGTTGACCCAGAAATTTCACGTTGGAGGATCTAACCTAAGAAGTAAATCCAGTATTTAAGAATGACAATTGAATAATTATTTATGATATTGGAGGAAGTGGAATTATCTCGTGTATAAAATTATAAGATAATCAAGTAAATGGTAAATTTACTCAGTGGAACATCAGAATAAAAATGCTAAAGCTGCTAATGCTATAAAACTAAGAACTTAAAGCAATTAGGGTGCTGATTGTACAGTTAAGGATATCTCTAAGTCATAGAGACTTGTGTTTGTTTTCAGACTCCATTCCTGTGATTTCATACACATTGCCCTGCAAAGCCTCAAATTAATTATTTCTAAAATGGCTAAAATTATACTACATATATAATTTGGCTTGTTATAAAGATTAAATTAAATAATGACTACAAAATGCTTGCTTAGTACTGTGCCCAGAAGATAGCACTGAAGATGCAGTTTTTGATTTTGTTGTTACGTAGTATTACCTAATGAGCATCCCTCTTACTTTAGTATCATGCTAAGTAAAATGATGACCCCAAAGATGTCCATGTCCTAATTCTTGGCTGCCTGAATATGTCACCTTATGTGGAAAAAGAGACTTGGTAAATGTAACTAAGTTCAGGATTTTTAGATGGGAAATTTATCCTGGAATCTGAGATGTGATCCAGTGTAATCAAATGTCCTTAAAATCAGAGAACTTCTCCTGGATGTAGTCAGAGGAAGAAAGAGCTAGATAACAATGGTCAGATGTGGTGTTGTTGGCTTTGAATATAGAGGGAGGGACCCCAAGCCATGGGTCAATCTTATGCTACAAAGGGGAAGGAAGTGCATTCTTCCCTATAGTCTCCAGAAAAAACAGAGCTCTGTTTGCTGTGATTTTAGCCCAGAGATTATATTAAACTTCCAATTTATAGAATTGTAAGATAATGCACTTATGTTACCGTAAGCCATCGAGTTTGTGGTAACTTATTATGGCAGCAACAGAAAACTAATACAGGGCTGGGGATTTAGCTCAGTGGTTTCACCGCTTGCCCTGCAAGCATAAGGACCCTAGTTCGATCCCCGTTACCAAAAAAAAAAAAAAACAGATCTATGTACTAAAAGTAGGTGACATTAATACTATTTAAACTAAGTATTGAGTGTTTATAAAATTAAAGACATTAAATTCCTTTAAAACAAATAAGTCTTAGACTCCTAAATCTGTTGTTCCCCTAGTTATGGCTGGTTAAAGCAGACTTAGAGAATTTATGATGTTAACCTATTAGTTCAGTGAGAAAACATTAAAACAGCCTTCATTCCTGACCACAGTATTTACGATATATGACTTATGTTGTCAATTACACCTAAATAAAAATGGAAAAAAGTACTGTTTCAAAAAATGTGTATATATTATGAGTACTTTGTGCCCCCAAAAGGAAATTTTTGTATATGTTCGCTTCAGTGTGCTGAGATGAATTTGTTTTGTTTCAGAAATCATACCATTGGCTTATTCAGAAGTTAGCATACAAGACATTTTGCCAACATAAAGTCTAATGTATGTAAGGTTCCTTTCAAAATAGAAAAGTACCCAGAAAAGGCAAGGGACAGGGAGTAGAGGCTTGTTTTGTTTTGTTTCCAAATATTATTGTAAATCTGAAATGAGGCTATCAAAAAGTTTCTTTATGAAAATACCAAATTAAGGAGCTATTATTGAATGTGTCACTCTGAAGTCTGTGTGAATTTCAATTTGTGAGATCACAGAAAATCTTATGAAAGAAGCAAATTGAAAAGGTAGATGCTTTAAGAAGAGTCAGGTACCAATCCATAATAATCGGAAAGAAGTAGAAACAGAAGCTGTTACATATGAGTCATGCACTCATCTCCCTTGGCCCAGTAAACTGTCTCAGTGTGCACTTAGCAAGTGGATTCGGCCTTGAGCACACACTTGAGACTGTGTCCCCTGCCTCCTCCACAGCTTGTTCATTTCTAACTGTGACAGACGGATTCTGAAGGAAAAGAAAGGAAGTGAGGCAAAGCATGGATTCAACACAGCTCATAACTACTTCCCATTACTTCACCACCTCACCCTTCTTCCAAGAAGGGAATTATGAGAGCTGACAGAACTTACTCTTCATAAATCCATGCACTGAACTATAACATTCACTTTGGGGGCCGAGTACTTGGGACCTTGCACTTGCGAGGCAGGCAATGGAACCACTGAGCTAAATCCCTGGCCCATAGCATCCACTTTTTTATCTTCCATTGTGTTGTTTTCCTTTTCAGGCAGCAATATTAAGCTTCAATGTTGTTTATTATTTGCCTTTCATTAAAATTAGCCTTTACCTGGCCCACTTTTTCTCTCCCTCTTTATTATCTTTAACTTCCTGAGCTGCATAAGAAACTACTGATATTTGACATTTATTCTCTCTGTGATATATCAGCTAATATTTGTAGTTATCACATTCAAATTATGAAAGTCAAATAAATAATCACACAGGTGAATGAAAGTCAATTAAAATGAGACATAATCAGACATATGAAAAACTGTCCAAATCTCAAATATAATTTAAAAGGGTCATTCACTTGTTTGATTCACATCTCTGAAAATTACAGAAAGTAATAAAAATCAATATGTATTAACCTTTCCCCATTAATTCCACTCTATCCTTTATATTTCTTAGTAGAGTGGTATGAAAATAACAGGGCCTTTTGCTTGGCACATCCTTCTATTCCTTTTTATATATGCATAAACTCAAAATTTTATTTCTTAAGCAATATTGTGGTTAGTAATACAAAAACATAACATGTGTTTGAAAAGAATATTTCATATTTTATAATGTCTAAAAGTATAAAAACTCTAAATGATAATGAAAATGGGAATGTAGGAAAGATTTTTATAAAGCATAATGTGTCTGAAAATTGTTTCCCTTAGGACTTGTCAGAATGAGCACGTTTTTGTACAAAATCCTGTGTTCTTTTAAAAATTTGGAAGAAAATTAAAATATTGCCTAATAGTAAAATACTTCCCAAATACATGGGCAATGTGGGGTCTCTCTGAGTTAAAAAGTCTATGTGGTGACATTTTGAAGAATAGAGCATCTTTTGCTCCCTCTATGAACAGCCCTGATCATTAGAACATTTCTTCCTGGAGAGTTGAAATTTACATGTTGTAAATTTTACCCATGAATGTAGCTTTGTTCTCCAAAGAAACAAAGAGTAAATTGAATTTTTCATTGAAAAAATAATAATATTACAGACACAACTCAAGCCCCCATCATGGTCCTGGGCCATCTTTTAAAATGGTACACTATTCATTTCACCCAGAAAATCCTTACAAAGCCATGCAAATCAAGATGTGCAAATCGTCACTTAACTCAGAGGACATCGTGAAACTTTGCAGGCCATCAATAGTATGGCTATCTGAAAATCCACCAAGTATTTAAAAGGTGACTTTAGAGGCAATGTGTGTCTTCCCATTTTTACAATGGTGAAGTTGGCAGGAGTGTGCGCCTTGGACAGAGGGTAAATGCCTGAGAGTGCCGAAGAGTTGCTGTACAGGCTTAAAAATACAGAGGGTAATAATGAACTTGAGCATTTATATATATATTCTGTGGTCACTGAGAAAATCCAGGTGAACAAAGCACCCAAGGTGCCAGCTGTACTTGGAGAACACGGTCAGACAGCCGATCATGAGCTCCCCCATCTCACTGACATGATTCAGACTGGAACAGAGCTGTTTCTACACCAGAAGAAAAGATCACACAGAAGAAAAATATGTCTTGTGGCTCAGGAAATAGCTCAACATAAAATACATGCAGATTAAACTAAAACCATAAAAAAGAATATTCAAAATTATAAAGAACATGAAAATAATGAGAAATAATCAGATGTGAAAAACAGTTAAATGGAAGCACCAATCAAACACATTAAATTCACACAACGCACTGTTAGATGAAGTTTAACACTCATTAAACATCCTCACATTTAAATAACAGCAATGATTCACAATGCCTAGCAAGATGTAATGAAACTAGTCTCACACACTTGTGCATAGAGCAACTTGCCAGATTTGATCATTAACAATTTGATCCAGTAATCTATTTTTTGAAAATTTTTGTTCAAAAAATCCAAAAGAAGAAAATATGTTAAACATGCAAAAATGTCTTTGCAAGCTTAAGTATAATACTAAAAAATTTAAAACCATCTAGATTTTAGTATTCCATAAAGGAAGGACAGGGTAATAAATTCACATTTATGCCCTAGTTCACAGAAATAATCTTCAATCATTTAAAATTACAACTAAAAATCTAGGTAGCAATTCAGAAAACATTGATGTTTTCTATAACCCCAACTATATGTGTATTAATGTTTATAGCACAGGCACTTGCATGCACAGGAAACATAATTGATTAACTTCAAAATGGTGAAATGAGGGCTGTCATTTTTTGTGGGATATCTTTTTCTTGTTACATTACTTGTGGCTTTAAACAATGAAAAAACCAAAGATTTTAGGGAATAAATTTTCAGAATAAAGTAGCTGTGGTAGGACATATTAGAAGATTCTAAACTAAACAAATTCTTACATGCATTTACGAATTATTTTTTAAAAAGAGAAGCCTACGTAAAATAGAGAGAAATGGTTCTCCCGGCCATTTAAAGTGCTTCATGATATATTATATGCAGACTTTAAGAGGACAAAGGTTTATCTGGAGTCTCTCTTTCTTTAGGTTACTCAGTAAACTCTGCCACTACTTCTGGAGATGTGCTCTATGTTGCGGGACAGCCTCGATACAATCACACAGGCCAGGTCATCATCTATAGGATGGAAGATGGAGACATCAAAATTCTCCAGACACTCAGAGGAGAACAGGTAAACATGAAAAGATTGTTTTAAATTAATCTGTTATACTCTATGTAACTATTATCCTAAACTTTTAAAAAGTAAAAAAAACATAAAATTTATACTGTAAAAAGGACCCCCTGCTAAATTCTTTAAAAGGAAGTAAAGGGTCTGCATCTTTGACATGAATATTTCAGTTGCATGGGGATAGAGCAAAAATGTATAGATAATAGGTGTAGATACAGGTATACAAAATATATACAGGAAAAAATTCTAAAATATTAAGAAGCATAAATATATGAAAAGCACAGACAGTATATTCAGAAAATAGAATGATTGCTCTAAACTGAAATTAGTATAGAAAGTCTTAAGAGATGAAACTTGGGCTGAGTCTCAAAGGGAAGATAGAATATAGATAAGTAGAAAGGTAACTGAAAGACTGTTAAAGAGATAACATAGCCCCAATTGTGTGACATTTTGAATGACAAAAAAATTTGGATTACATCCCAGAGGCAACTGGAAATTCTTCTTAGGTAATAAATATTAAAAGTGATATAAGAGAAAATAAACACAGTAGGTGCACATCAATATTTACAATATTTTTTAGGCTGAAACATCTTACTATTCTATTTTAGGTTATTTGTAGATTGTGATAATTTTGGTAATTTTTGACCCTTTTCATAGTTTTCTATATTTACCAATTGTTGTAAAATGAGACTTTATCAAGTTTATTGTGCAGACTTAAAGGGGATTTCTTTTTAGATTTTCATAAATATTTCTATTTTTTCCCCATTAAGCTTATTGGTACATTTAAAGCAAACAATATAGTTACATGTATCATTGGGATCTTGTACCTTTACATGATATGTCTTGTTTCTTATTTTTACCCCATACCCCTGCCCCCCCTTCATGGATTTTTCATAAATATTTCTATTTTTTCCCCATTAAGCTTATTGGTACATTTAAAGCAAACAATATAGTTACATGTATCATTGGGATCTTGTACCTTTACATGATATGTCTTGTTTCTTATTTTTACCCCATACCCCTGCCCCCCCTTCATGGATTTTTCATAAATATTTCAACTCAGGAGACTGCACAAGAAGGACTGATACAACTTTGCTCATCTGTAGAACTCCTGGCTGCAGTTCAGCCCAGCATACAGTCCTGGTTCCAGGAAACTCACAGCAAGCAGGCCTAGGAGCTCCCTAGGAGCTCCTTCTATTGCCTCATGTCTCACAGGAGACAGTGTCCTTTATGACAACAGCATAAATGTAGCTTACTTATCTCTGTGATGGACTTGCCCATTACAAGACTCACTGCTGAGAAGCCCAAAACACATCTGCACCATCAGGTACTTAGAGTTCACTTAAAATTCCTCATGATTAAAGTGCAATGTCCCCACCAGAGTTTGTTTTCACCACCACCAGTGTTGTTTAGCAATACAATTAGAATTTCATTCTCAACAGATAACCAGAAAAATAAGAGTACATCAGAGGCTAGATTCTTATATACCAGGCTTTTTTCCTCCACTTTGGGTTACTGTGACAAAACATCTAAGGTAAATGATTTAAAGAAGAAAGATACTTTTGGCTTATAGTTTCAGAGGTTTCAGTCCGTGGTCAGCTGGCCCCATTGTTCAGGCATGATGGAAAGAAAGGCATGTGGAAGAAAGTTGCTCACTTCATGGCCACAGAAGTCAGAGAAAAAGGGAAAGAACCAGACAAGGAATAAGGCACAAGGCATACCTTTCAAAGCACATCTCCACTGATCTCTTTTTTTAATTGGGCTCTCTCTTACAATAGCCTGTGCACCTTTGAATACATTAATGAATTAAGCCATTGATTAGATTAGCACACAACCCAGTAACCTCAAACAGACAGAAATGGGACCAGAAAGTGGGTTGCCTGCCCAACCCACTTTTCAAAGGTGTTTTATATGGCAAAGCCATGAGGTGTGGTGGGTACTAAGTGGGACAAAACTATAAGACCTAATAGAAAATTACAAGGTGGGCATGAGGTAGAACAAAATCATGACCAACCAATAAGATTACAAGTACAGTCACCCAGGTAATATTTATTAAATGGAAATCAAATGGGAAAATAAGTCATATACAACGAATTTCCTCCATTGGAACATCAATCACTGCTATCCATCTCTACGGGAAGTGCTACCTCTTTTTTAAATTTTATTTTAATAATGCTAACCAGTGAATATGCCTCAGTTCTCCATGTTGGCATCTTAATTGTTCTCTAAGTTGGCTCCTCCACTGTCCTGCATGTTGGCTGAATGAGGGCCTGCTCTGTCTATCTGCCTACAAGATGGCTAATTAACTTACCTATCTACAATACTATGACATAGGAGCTAAGTCATAGATGCTAACACAGGAAGTGTCAATAAGACAAGTACTAAGAGTACCAAGTTTTAAACACAGGTCAATATTTGAAAAGGTGATATAAGCATTTCAACAATGAAATGTAAGTTCCCTATCTCTTCCTAAGTCAGATCTGACAGCAGAGAAAATATACTACTGCAAGGGATGGCCCCCATCAATCCTTTCATATTTTTCTATCTCTCATAGCTGCTGGGAAAAGACTTAGCTGTAAGTGAGTAGAAATCATCTAAGATCAAAAGGTAAAATATACTGCAGTATTCTAAGACCTTTGGGCTCCTATTAATGTACTTAGTTCATATTTCAAGTTACTGTATTGCTCAGCAACCTCCAGTTTCTGTATTTCCTTACCTTTGCCAACCAAGTCTTATAACCTCTTCTCAATTGGCAGAAGCAAGAGAATGCAGATTTTTAGCTTTCTTCAGAACATCTGCTATTCATCAGGTTGTTTTGTCTTGTGCCTTAGATTGGTTCCTACTTCGGCAGTGTATTAACAACAGTTGACATTGATAATGATGCTAACACTGACATCCTTCTCGTCGGAGCGCCCATGTACATGGGAACAGAGAAAGAAGAACAAGGAAAAGTATACGTGTATACTCTGAATCAGGTAATGGTAGCCGAGTTTGGTAGAAATCCAGGAAAATGTTTTTCTGTCCATTCAGTATTAAATAGTGCAGTTCTACTTTTTGCCTCATTTTGGAAAAGAAAGCAAAGAAGTGTTCAGGGCTCATCCATGTCACCAAAACCTCAGTTTCAAAAGGAACATTTAGGATTGTAATAAAGTAGTTCTAGTCCTTAGATATTTTCTACTTGGAAATGTAAAGTATGCTTGTACCAGAACATATAGGATAAAGAAGACAGACCCCACTCAACACTAAAACACCCATCCTGGAACCATTTATGAGCTCTGACCTGGAAGTGGGTAATACTAACAGTTGCAGTGGGCTGACTGGTACAGGAGAAGTAATTTCAAAGCAAAGACATCAGACACTTCCCAGGAACCACTGTGATCTTTGGAATACTTCACTGAGCTTAAGTGAAATTCTGTTTTTCATTCCTGACAATAGATACCATTTCTAGGTGAAACCTTGATTCTTCCTTATGAACTTATGTTGCTATTTACAGCAAGACCAGTGTTTATTTATTTAGCTTTGTTTAAACTCTTAGATTTTCTCCTGTATTATTTTAAACATAAATCATGTCTCTTTTTTCCTATCATATTTTATTTCTCTCTATGAACTTTTAATGGGGCTTATTCTCTTCCCCTTTTAGTGTGTCCCCTGCCCCTGCAAAGAAAGTATGGTTTCTCCACATGTTCTGTTACCTTTGTCCTTGCAGGATTGCTGTCTTCCTCTCCTCACTGTAGGCAACTTTAGAGAAAGTTTGCTTTTTAAACAAAATATACTTTCTTGGTCTTATAAGGAAGAATAAAGGGATCCTTTTCAAGGAAGCACGGTATTGGGTAAATAAGGAAGAATGGCATAAATTGAGGACTTAGAATTTAGGTTCTGGGACCAGGGATTTAGCTCAGTGTTTCCGCTGCCTGCCTTGCAAGCATAAGGTCCACAGTTCAATCCATAGTGCCAAAAAATAAAAAACAACAACCAAAAGAATTTAGGGTCTATATTTAAGATTAAAAACATGATGCTAAGTAGATATTCAATTGTGCTAAAAGAACCCCTTCTAAGATTCTCTTGGTGCTGCTACAATCTGTTCTTTGGGCTCTTTACTTTGTTCTCAGGTTCACTTTTTTAAACTTTTTACAAACATTTCTACTGATGCATCAATATTTTTTAATAGCACTGATTTATCTTATACTTTAAAAATCGACTCTGTTCCAGTAGTGATAGAATCCCATAAGTATCCTGTTTATCTTCCTTCCAGACAAGGTTTGAATATCAAATGAGCCTGGAACCAATTAAGCAGACATGCTGCTCATCTCTGAAGCACAATTCATGCACAAAAGAAAACAAAAATGAGCCATGCGGGGCTCGTTTTGGAACAGCTATTGCTGCGGTAAAAGACCTCAATCTTGATGGATTTAATGACATCGTGATAGGTGCTCCCCTGGAAAATGATCACGCCGGAGCTGTATACATTTATCATGGCAGTGGCAAAACTATAAGGAAAGAGTATGCACAAGTAAGAAGTTAAACCTACAGATTCTTGCTTATCAGTGCTAAGTGGATTCCATGCCAGTCATTCTTGTTTATTTCATGGGTTATTTAATTTGTGACTCTATTGGGAAACTAGACTTACTCCTCTCATACGTGTTCTTTATAGAGGAATAACTTTATATTTTATACTATTACCTGGATTCTTTTCTATTCTTATTTAAGTTTAAATATTGCATTGTTTCTCTTACATGAGAAATCCAAAATATAAATAAAGAGCAAAGTAAAAGATAGGTAATAGGAAATAGGAAGATAGATATTTTGCAAAAGGGAAGGGGACCAAGAAATTGGGGGCGGAGGGGGAGGGATGGAAAAAGAATTAAAATGTGCTACATGTACCAACTCCCCACGAGGAGAATAATCATTATATACTATAAACACATACTAACAAAAAATAAAAATTGAAAAAATAAATATATCTCCCAAGAACTAAAACAAAAGGCAAAACAAAAAAGAACACTTTGCAATATTCAACATTTGTAGTGTGTTTCATCCTAAAGAGAGCATATTCCTTTCTGATTAAGAGAGTAATTATATGATTTAGACAATAAAGAAGATGAGAGTATTATTTTTATACTCAGTGCTCAAGATGCTGTAATAAAATTACATTACATTTATACTTATGAATTAAATTGGTATATTTTAATCAAATGAATTTTGGCTTCTGAAAGTTTATAATTTTCTCAAGTAATCCTTCCTGGAAAAGTTTTGAAAAATTATTCTTAATCTACAGGGGATTTCTGTTGTTCTTGTTTTAAATTTATTGTCAATTAACAGCTCTCATCTATAAATTTAATTTCTTCATACATGTGAAAACTATTAAAGAATCATTTAATGCAGTATAAAAAATGAGGGTTTAAGCTTCTAATGCAATTGTCTGCTTTTATGTAATCGTAGTTAGGCATAGAACAACAGCTTATGAATAAAATTGTACTGAACACTTTTGAGTTTATTTACCATGAAAAAGAAATCAAAACATTATTTCTTTTTATATTTGAGTGGTCTCTGGTTCTGTAAACATAGTTTTCAGAACCTACTCATATATTATGAAGTTGTGTTTAATTTTACATAAAGTCATAATGACATTAATATTAAGGATATGAATAGTGAAGGATTAGACAAGATGACATTATGTATTTTTCCAATTTTTTTATAATGTCAGTAACCTATAAATGAATTTGTCTGTATAATAAAAAGAACAATGTGCTTTGGGAATATCTGGGCATTTCTTTTGTTTGCACATGAAATACCTCTTGATTCCCAAAAGAACTTTAAATTTTTTGTTAACCAATCTAAATTCTTAGGTTTATTTGAAACTATTTTGAACAGAGCCTTCTGACATGAAACACCCTTTTACAGCATATTCCATCAGGTGGGGATGGCAAGACACTGAAATTTTTTGGTCAGTCTATCCATGGAGAAATGGATTTAAATGGTGATGGTCTGACTGATGTGACAATTGGGGGCCTTGGTGGTGCAGCCCTTTTCTGGTATGTATTTTATAATATCTGGTACATATTTAAATTACTCCTATTTCACAGATAAGTCCAGGTCTCAGCATATGACTGGAGCTCATGCCATACCAAATGTCCATTTCCTTTCATGCTCCATTAAATAGATCCAAGTTATTCATTTGAGAAAGTGACAGGCTTAACTGTCAACTTCATTGGCTTGAAGCAACACAGGGGATTAGAAGAGCATGCTCTGGGTGTTTCTGTATGAGTTTTAGAGGCATGATCCTGGGGTCTATATCTCGTCTCTTGAGTTCTCCTCTTGCTGCCGTTCAGCTCTATTTCTTGGCTGCCATGAACTAAGTATCTTTCCTATGCCACACCTTGCCTCCATGATGTTTCTTCTTGGTAGCCAGCTAATCATGAACTCAGCCCTCTGCAACTGTGAGCCAAAATAAGCCATTTCCTTCTTTCTGTTGAGGCTTTTGTGTATTTGGTCCCAGCAAGAAGAAAGCTGACTAATACAGGGAAGGTGTAGGAGAGGACAAACTTTTCTAGAAGCGTCTAATCAAGAAAGAACCCCTAATTTTGAATTCTGTACAAGCTTTTTGGGATAATTGACTCTTCTTTCATTTACCTGATTCAGTTACAGATTCAGAAACGGTTATAGTTCTGTTAGCAGCAGAATGAAGCAAACCAGAATAATGGAACAAAGATTAAGTGTTGCACTGCTAAAGCAGGTACTGAGTAGATACAAATGGAAAGTAAACAGCAGAGATGATCAAATGTGTCCGAAAGCAGAAAGCCTTGTTGCCTGGACTAGACCAAACCATAGCCACATAGAGATCCAGTCGGAGCAGCCAGTGTGTGTGAGGTAGACAGTGGTGAAGGCAGCCGCATGGATGGAGAATCCATGTACTAAACAGGAAACTAGTCGTGCTCATTCATTGCTGATGAAAGCGTAAACTGGCTGAAACTCGGAAAATATTTGTCAATAAGTATTTCACAGTCTTAAAATATTCATACTTACCAAAGAATTTACTTCCTAAAACAATTTAAAGATATAATCCAGAAATATGTTTAAAGATGTATTATCTTTAGAGCAGTCATAGCACTGTGTTAATAACCATATTTTTAAGAAAAAGAAATAAAGCTAAATATCTAGTGAGAGGGAAGTGAATACATAAATTGTATGCACATGCTGCTGAGGTAAACTGCCATTAAAAATAAAGTAGTCAGGAAAATATATTGAAAACTGTTCATTATAAGCTCAAAAATTTGTGTGTATACATATTTATATGTGTGTATATATAGTACAACTAAATTTGTGTATATACATGTGTTGCTATTCTGCAAAGATAAAACACTTAGGGTACTGATGATCATTGCTGAGTGATAAAATTATAAGTGAAAAAATTGTGTTACTTGTGTTTTCTTTATGTAGTTCTATGTTTCTGTCATATTTTATACAAGTAAATTGTTTTAAACAAAAAGAGAATGTCATTTTTCAAGTACAAAAGGATAATGAGAGACATCAGTATTCAGAAGACATCTAGTTATAAAAAGCCAGTTCAGTTCCCAAAGCAGAAACCAAGTAAAGATGTACAAAACTTACACTGACTTCATTCTAAGGCAATGACCTCACATTCCACATATTCTTCTTGCCTAAAATCTAACTCTGCCACCATTTTGGACCAGTGGAAATCCTTGGGCTTTAGGATGAAAGGTACTAAGATTAAATCCAAGTTTTTCCTTCTTAACAGCTTTTGGCCTTGGGTAAAAAGGTCAGAGCCTCAGTTACTTTAGTTACCTCACATACAAAATAAAGATAATAATACAATCCTTCTTTACCAGTAAGAGTACTTTCCAAGATCCCCTGTGAATACTGAAACCTCAGATAGCAACAGACTTTATAAGTGTGATGGTGCACAGTCAACAACATAACTGAGGTGGTTACTAAGTAAGGAGCAGACAGGATACAGAGTGGATACACTGGACAAAGGGAAGCTTCCTATCCCAGGTAGGAGAGGCCAGGAAGATGCAGGATCACACTACTCACAGTAGTACACAATTTACAGTGTATGAATTGTTTCTTTCTGGAATTCTCTATTTAAATTTTTTAAACCATGATTGACCCATATAACTGAAACTGTGGAAAACAAAACTATGAATAAGAGGAAGGCCAATGCATTGCTTTTTTTTTTTTTTTTTTTTTTTTTTTTTTTTGGACCTGGGATTGAACTCTGGACCTTGGGCTTGCAAGGCAGGCAGCAGCACCACTGGGCTAAATCCCAGGCCCTGCATTGGTTCTTTTTAGAGGGAATTCAAAAATCAAATAACGCATATGCTTAACATACTGTCTTGAATATTATCCTACCAACTCTTCCCAGAAACAGACAGGGCTGAATTCACAAGAACAGACAAGTATTATAGTCCACATGAAAGCTAACAGGGACACCCCAAGTTTTCTAGAGGTCTCTGGACTCAATTGGAAACTTAGAAATACCCCCAAGTACAGTTCTGGTTCGGAGCTTGCACTTGGGCACTTGTTTGCATGTCTTTTCTCACAAGTAAAAGTAGAACTTTGGCCTTTAAGCCAGATGCTCCAAACAGCCTAACGCATCCTGGATCTCCTCAGAACGTAGGACATATTCTCTTCTGTATTAATGAATGGATTCCTGAAAGCCCACATGATATACAAAGGAGAATCTTCTTCAGTGCACTCACATTGCACTCTCGAGTGGATGGCATTCATTAAATATAAAATGTGAGAGTAATCCCTATTGTTTGTGTGTTTCTAGGTCCCGAGATGTGGCTGTAGTTAGACTCACCATGAATTTTGAACCAAATAAAGTGAATATTGAAAAGAAAAACTGCCACGTGGAGGGAAGAGAAACAGTGTGCATAAATGCTATAATATGTTTTGATGTGAAATTGAGGTCTAAAGAAGACTCGATTTATGAAGCTGGTAAGCATAATCATTACAGCTAGTTCTTTTGGGCACAGGATGATGTTTGTGCTCCCGCATGAGGTCTAGTAGAATATTGCAGTTCCCCAGCCTTGGTGAACTGCCCCTTGCACTTGCTTCATAAGCTGTTGAAACAGTTCTTCTATATAAAGAATAGATTTCAGAACCCAGCTAATTCTGTAGGAAAAAAAAAATGACCGGCTTCTGTGCAGTGACCTCAACATTAAAGTGTCTTCTGGCTCTCTTATTTACTATGAACAATCAGATGCTAAGAGATATAGAGAGGCAGCATTTAGAAATGGGCTCCAAATGAGCCCAATTATCCTCCCTTTGGATTTAAGGAAGCTAAATGAATTTTTCCTCACAAAGCATTCTCTCCCTTTTTCTGCCCCCTGCTGGGAAACACTGGTGTTACAGAGGATCCGAATACAGCTGCCCAGATAGCCCTTTCCATTGAGGAGATGCTGGTTTTCAGAGTAAGAGTCGTTCTGTGTGAAGTCCTCAGTTCATCATGTCAGTCCCTCGTCCCTATGCACTGTGCTTTCTAAGAGTTTTTTAATGATGTTTAAATATGTTGACATCAAAGCTATAAAGGCCTTTGGCTGCAGAAGAGTACTTTTCAAACAAAGTGAGGACAATGAGAAAAAACAATAATCCTTAAGACCAATTTTTCTCTCTGTGTGTATAAATGCTCTAAAATAGTCCCCTTACTAGAAGGTAAATGAAATATAGGAAGGTAAAATAATGATTTAACTTTCAATATACATTATTTCAATCTTATTTAATTTTAACTAGATAATGAAATGCACATTGTAGTCCACATGCAAATTATAAGATTTCACTTGTTTTCCTTATTGTGGTATGCTTATTTTATTGAAATTAATAGTGCTTTGAACATAAACTAAGATTAGTCTCTATAAAAAATTAAAATATTATTTTTGTCTCTGTTGAAATATAATCAGTATTCCAGGCAGCATTCAAGTATTTCTAAACTAAAACAAATATTTTAAAGGAAAACCCACTGAACACACACAGTGTCAGTAAGTTAGATGTGTAAATGTGTGTGTATGAGATTGTGTGGGTATGTGCATTATAAGTAAGTATATTTAAACATTAGGAGCAGAATGAACCCAAAACAGTTCTGTAAGACTTCCTCAAGGTTGTCTTTGTGATAGCTGAGACTATTGTATTACAGTAGTGTAGACATGCTGAATAACAGGACCTTTTCATTGATTAATTGCTCAAGAGATATTTCCATAATTCTAATTCAATGAGTCAGATCATATGAAAGTATCTTTCAAATAAACATTTCTGTCACTTTTGCTTTTGTTTTTGTAGATATGCAGTACCGTGTGACCCTAGATTCCCTAAGACAGATATCACGAAGCTTTTTCTCTGGAACTCAGGAGAGAAAAATTCAAAGAAATATCACAGTTCAAGCATCCAAATGCACTAAGCACTCCTTCTACATGTTGGCAAGTAAATCATACATTATAACTGCCTTATTCCAAATAAGAATATAGACGTCTTATTTCAAGTCAGTCAAGTTCCATTTTGTTTTGTTCTGTTTTTTAGAGAGGGTCTCACTATGTAGTTGAGACTGACCTGGAACTCACTGTGTAGCCCAGGCTGGTCTCGAACTCACAGTGAACCTCCTGCCTCAGTCTCCCGAGTGCTGGGATTACAGGCATGTGCCACCATGCCCGGCTAAGTCAGTCAAATTCTTACTGTTCTACTTTAAAGTGAACAATATTAATTGATAGTTTGTTGACGCAGCAGAAAATCACAGGTGTGATTTTATTATTTCCAAATATATTTTATAAAAGTATCATTAGATTTCCCTGTTTGTGTCAGACATTACTGTAATAACTGATGAGAAACTTTATTTACTCATTTTTTTACTCATTCACTAATTTATTCAATTTGAGAGCATCGTTTAACTTCTGTGATCCTCATTTGTCAAATGTGTATGATAAGTGATGAACTAACTGCCTTGAAAGAAAATTATTGGGCCATATGCTCTCTGACTCCATTGAAATATATATCTTGCTCTTTGACTTTAGATTAAAGGAGCAAAATTCTGGTATTTTCTGTCATCTCCAGTTTGTGCTACTTTAGCTTCTTTCTATTTCAATGAACAAGAGGAGCTTGAAAATTAAAACTTTTTTTTTTTTTTTTGAGGCATGGTCTCCCTTCATAGTTCAGGCTGGCCCTAAATTTGCTATAGCCCAGGCTGGCCTCAAACTCACAGTGATCCTCCTGCCTCAACCTCCCAAGTGCTCAGATTACAGGTGTGTGCCACCACACCCTGTGAAAAGTAAATTATTAATCTAGAGATGATTATGCTATGGCTGTGTGTAGTTGTCCCCCCAAAACCTCATGCAGTCAGAGCTGGGGCTTTTTCAGAGGTGCTGAATCTAGAGTGTGTGATCCTGGGATCAATTCATAGTGCAATGCTAGGCTCCAGGGCACTAGGATTAAGGGTATGACCGCTACCCACCCTGAGTAGCCTGGATAAGATATAATGGAAAGAAAGAGCTATGATCATTCATTACTTGCTCTTGCCTGCCTGCTTGCTTTGGACTATTTCTCTTCCATGCCGTCCTGCCTTGGAACCAGCCAGCTATGCGCTGAAACCTCTATGAACTGTGAGGTTTCCTCCTCTTAAACCTTTCCTCCTTTAACTTTGGGTTTTGGGTATTTTTGTCTTAGCGACAGGAAAAGTAATTAAGAATACTGTTAACATTAAGATGTGACTATGATCTGGAAACATAAACCTGGAGTCACCCCTCCTATTTAGCTCATCAGAAGTGAACATTTAGGAGTTAAAATTTGATATACTGCGTGCAACCTACTGAAAATGATTACAGTCTGTGTTCATTCACAAGTTCAGTGTTTAATCCATGTCTAGGTACTGCATTTGGAGGAATGGACTAATTTCCAAAGTTCTAAAATTCTTACATTTTAACATTTATTCTGTAGTCAGCTTTCCTCCATTCTGAGCAACTCTGGTAAGGTCATTTAGTCTTAGAGGTTCAATTTATCACCTGTAAAATGAGAACTCTAATAGTTTTTCATCTTTGAAGAATATTGAAATAATTCACAATAATATATGTATATAAAACTCAATTGTGGACACAGTAATTGAAATTTATTGATACTATTAATAATATCAGCCATATTTATATTTATATTACTTCCATATCAGTTTACATTATAAAATTATTATAGAACTATGTATATATTATATATAATATTATTTATAGATGTGTGACTCAATTTAGAGAAGGTTTGGGAGACTTTCCTAGAAGTACTGTTTTGCATACTGATTTTTTAAACTGAGGCATCAGGAAAATATTATACAGGTTACCATGTATCCTATTACACCAGCAGGCTATTCTGAGTAGCTGTGTGAATCATTTGGTCATAGTCTTTGCTTTCCAGCTGTGTCCTTTGTCAAAGGAGAAAAGCTGTCCCCTTCCAGTGAAGCAAAAACCTGATGAGGCTAGGTTACCTGCTCAAGAAGGTTCCTGTAAGAACAAAGCCAGCAGATCAGAACATCAAGCAAAGGATACCAATGACATTATATTATTATGTTTCATCCTCTAGGACAAGCATGACTTTCAGGACTCCGTGAGAATAACTTTGGATTTTAACCTTACTGATCCAGAAAATGGGCCTGTTCTTGATGATTCTTTACCAAACGTAGTACATGAATATGTAAGTCAGAATACCTTTTTTTTGGTGAATATAATAGGAAAAAGCTTGAGCTATGGAAACACATAGCTCTAAATAAAAAAATGTATGTATATGTTTATAAACATTAGCCTTTTGCAGACAACTCCCAATCCTTCTTAGTTCCTCTTATAGGAGTTTAGGGGAACTATTTAGGGTGGGAGGCCCCTGCCTTTTTACATCACCTGAATTGAGGACCAATTGAAAGAAATCTCCCCTTTTATCCTAATAAACACTGTGTTGGAAGACATGGTTTAGATATCATGGGTGTTGTCCTGGTACTGAACCTTTTACTTAAACCACAAACAGACAGCAAGTCATTGACAGTGCTGACCAGTCTGGCCTTCTTCATGTGGCCCACCTAAAAGGCACAGAAAGTAGAGGAGCTGGGCGGAATGTATGTTTTCTTGCCGTTACCCCAATAAAAATGTATTGTGAAGAGACTGGGCTGTGTTCCCCTAGTCTTGCTTCCAGTATCAGAGTCCACTCTTCCACAGCAGAGAGCAAGTGAGGGGAGAGAGAAGGAGAGCATAGCATCAATGGGGGAATGAGCTCTCTCCATACGACTATCTTCTACTCTCCCTTCCATCCTTCCAAATATATTTATCGTCTCATGTGTCCAGACACAGAGGTCACAGTCTAACTTGGGAATCGGGTGTAAGTAATTAAGTGTGTGCTGTGGAGGAGAGTTTTAGAGCTCTTTGGAAACTTCTACATCAGTGGAAGAATCTGGGAGGACTCTTGTTTTTTGTTTGTTTTGTTTACCTGAAAATAGAATCATTTTCCATGTTTTTTTTCCTCATTGAGTGTATTGGTACATTTTAGGGATACAATACAGTTACATTCATCATTGGGATCTTGTACCTCTACATGACAGGTCTTGGTTCTCATTTTTTCCATGTTATTTAAAGGAGACAGGGGAGCAAAGGATACAGTACGTGGGAAGGTTCTGGGGTATCAAAAAAGCTCATGTGGACAAAACTAAAATGCAAGAGTTATGTGAGATGAGGCAGGTGCTAGATGCTTCCGGACTTGGTGCCTCTGTGCAAATTTTTAGCTTTTTAGAAAGGCAGTGCAGTGGTGTTGAGAATTTAAATTTGGTTCAGTGATGGGACTGGATGTGTAATTTTAGGGATTATCTCAGGCACAATATGGAGAATGATTGGAAGGAAATAAGAGTGAGTTGGAGGAGACCAGCTAGCAAGCTGTTACTCTAATTCAGAGAGGAGATGGGTGAGAAAGGATTTGGTGGATACCTATTTAGAAGATGAACAATCCTTGGTAAGAAGTTGGTAGAGGGAGGACATAATAAAGAAAAATCAAGTAAAACTGCCAAATATGTGGCTTCACTTACCCCCTCAACTGAACTTTGTTATATTCCTAAGTATTTGATTCTTTTCAGTGGAAAGTCTCTTGATTGGAGTTGATTAGATTTCAATTTTGCACTTCTCTTCTTGACTTGATTTTTTAAAAACTATTCTTCTCTGGTTGACTAAAGGAAGTGAAAAATATCTAAAATTATGCATTTTAAAAGGACAAGAAAATTTTATACAAAGTACTAGAAAAATATCTATCAGAAAAGTTTATTCTTATAAGAATAATATAAAATTCCTCAAGATTTCTGGAGTGCTGTATAATTGACTCTCTTTAATTGTTTAACATACTTTGATACTGTCATTTCTGTTGTACAAATTAATAGATAATTCTCAATGGTGCTTAAATACAATTTGAAAACTATTTCCTGTGACTGTTTCAGATTCCCTTTGCTAAAGACTGTGGAAACAAGGAAAAATGTATCTCAGACCTCACTCTGGATGTCTCCACCACAGAAAAAGGCCTGTTTATTGTCAGACCCCAGAATGACAAATTCAACATTAGCCTTACAGTCAAAAATAAAGGTGACAGTGCTTATAATACCAGAACAATAGTACAATATTCTCCAAATCTAATTTTTTCAGGAATTGAGGTAAACTTGCAGTTTTTGTTTATTTATTGTTGTAACTATCATTTATTGAACATACTTTTCATATCACTAAGAATTGATCTGATTATATTAATTCTAGAAGAATAGATAATATTTTGTACAAAATCAGTATACACTAATCCTAAAAGTACCAACCTTTAGTTTTGTTTTGCTTTATTTCTTCAGAGACGTATGTCTCTTCTTAAGATCCGTATGAAAAAAAGACAGCTGATGTATCAAAAATGTACATTTGGAGCCAGAGATTTATCTCAGGGGCAGCATGTCTGCCTCAAGCGCAAAGTCCTGAGTTTGATCCCTGGTACCAAAAAAAAAAAAGTTACGTTCACAGACAGCTTAAGCCAATGCAACCTGAGATTGAGTAAAAAATAAATAAATATATATATATATAACAAAGTTAAAATTGTTTTAACAGAAGTGCAGAAAAAGTTCTCTGTTTCTGGAGAAAAGAAAAGGAGATACTATTTCTCCCTTTCCAGGCAAAATCCTTACTTTGACAGAAGGTCTGCATTAAATTACTATGGCTTATTAATTCATAACAGAAGGAGTTGTTTTGGGAGACAGTAAAAGTATCTGTGTAATAGGTTTTTAAAAGTATTTTGGCAGTAAAATGTCTGCATAAGACACCATATCAAGGTTATTAGTACTTCCAAATTTGAACTTTCTTTTAATTGTGATATCCAAATAAATGAATGACTTTAACTTTAAATTCTATATATATTTATGTGAATTAGTAACATATATGATTCACATTTAAAAAAGAGTACCTAACACTAAACACTATTATCTGGTTTCCGTATATTCAGGTTTTCACTGATATATCTCTCCATTCGTTAGGCTATCAGAGACTTGATGACTAAAGTAAACTTGACAGAAATGCCATTAATATAATATACCTTAGATCCAGAATATCAATTATGAATACAAAGTAGTTATATAAACGCAAAATGTAAGTGCAAAGTAATGTTGGAAAACGTTACCATTGAAATTTTCTCTGGAAAGGGCACCACATTAAACATCATTGCCTGTATCATTTTCATCTGACTTCATGGCCTTGGCAGACAGTCACAGCCATAAAACTCACTGTGCATCTCTTCTACTTGTTTTAACAACAACAGTAATCATAATGGTCTGTCTTTCTTTAGCTGTATTATGTGTGAGACTCTGTTTTAAGGATTTCACATATTCACATATCTCGTTAATTCTTTTATAAGTGTTACTATACCTACTCACTGCACAGATTTGAAGATAAACCCTTTTTCACATTCTTGTATTTCTGTAATTGCATTTTAAGTTGATAGTGCGTTTATTTATCTGACAGTATTATTTTCCCTCCTTACTGGTATCTATACTAATGGCGTATTATATGTTAAATGACATTTAAGGTTGGATCAAGTAAAGTATTATTAGCCCCACTTGTTAGAAAATCAGACACAGAGAGTTAAGGACTCTTGATAAGGATAAAGCCAATAGTGGTAGATTCAGGAGTTAAATCTTGGCAGTCGTGGGTCAGAGTCCTTATTCTCCACAGTGTTAAACTCCCCTAAGTACTAATGCTCATTGTGCACTGCTCTGTGCCAGTCCAGTGTGTGTGGATTATTTTGTTCAGTTACTACAATCACCTGTGAGGGAAGTGCTGCTGGTGGTCTCATTTTCCAACTGAGGATTTATGCAGGATAATGGGTGCTGTCTTTCCAGCACTTTCAAGTGATGTCTTCAGATTTTAATGAATCATGGAACAGATGATCCCAGAGTGATGTGACTCTGCCAGTCAAACTAAGAGACACACCTTGGCACTGCAGTCCCCATCGCATAGCTGGGAAACTTTTCACCTGGTTCTCTGCTCTAATTCTGTTTACTTTCTTCTCCTAGGGGATCCAAAAAGACAGCTGTGAATCAAATCATAACATCACATGTAAGGTTGGATATCCTTTCCTGAGAAGAGGAGAAATGGTGAGCAGATTACACACAATACATGTAGCGATTGGATATGAAAAACAGTGTGCTTACTACATCCACAACAGAGCTGTAATTTGTAAGTCTTGCTGCTGGGCAGCTTGGACGACTGGTGGTACATGCATGGTTGTCCTATTGGACAGATTTTTATTAATTTTATTAGTAAAAAGACCAATGAAAGTGATTAGATTTGTTTGTATTACCAGTGGTAGAAGCCACCTGTTGTGACAGTCATGTATGTACCACTGGTGGTTCAAGCTGAAGGGAACATTTTAAAACCAATGCATAAATATGTTTAATGGTAGGTTAGCATGATGTGGATGAAAAAGACTGAGTTTAATATTTTTCAGCTTGAAATTTGAAACAGTCCAAAATTATTGTTTCCCTAAAATTCTCATGTTGAAATTTAATCTCCAATTTGACAGTATTAAGAAGTGGAGCCTTTGGTATTAGTGGCTTTATAAATGAGGTTCACAAGGAGCTTGTCTGACCCTTCTATCTTGTAAGGTTATATAGCAGTAACAATACACTGAGAATAGGTCGTCAGCAGACATTGAGTTGGTTGGTGCTTTGATCTCAGAACTCCCAGCTTCCAGAACTAGAAGCAATAAGTTTCTGCTGTTTCTAAATTATTTACTCTAATGTATTTTGTTATAACAGTCTAAGCAAACTAAGACAAAATCAAACTCAAAAGCTAAGTATTGGGCTGGGGATTTACCTCAGTGGTTCTGCCACCTGCCTCACAAGCACAAGGGCCCAAGTTTGATCCTCGGTACCCCCACCGAAAAAAGCCAAGTATTACATGAGTCAAATTGTCAAATTCAAATGCAAAGAGAAAATTATAGCAGATAAATGAACCTGCTCAGCTACATTCCACCAGAATTGGACGAAGGCTCCAATTTCTCCATTATCATTAATATCTTTTTTATTATAATTACTCTGGTGAGTGTGAGGTGAAACGTCATAGTGATTTTGACTTTTGTTTATTCTAATGCATAATGATATTTTGTGAAACTTTTCATGTGCATATGGGCTGTATGTATATATACTTTGGAGAAATGTTTGTTCTGACCCTTTACTTATTGTATATTATCCATTTTATATTACCAAATTATAAGTTCTTATATTCTAATTCCCTAATTAGATATATGGTTTGTAGCTATTTCCTCCCATTCTCACAGTTGTATTTTCACTTTCTCTAAAGGACAAACATTTTTAATTTTAATTCAGTCTAGTGTATTTAATCTCTGATGCCTTGTATTGCTGTCATATCTAAGGAAGTTTTCACTGATCCAAGGTCAGGAATATTTTTCTATGTTTTCTTCACAGAGCTTTGTTATTTTAGCTCTTACGTTTTGGTCTGTGATCCATTTTGAACAATATTTTTTGTTGGATGTAAGAAAATAAACCAGTTTTAAAAAATTTCTTGCATAAAGATATCCACTTGTCCCACACCATTCCATAAAAAATTTAATTTATCCCATTTAGCTATTCTTAACCATTTTTTTCTTCTATTTGGCAATTCCTTGTTGTTCAGAGTAAAATCTTAAATCAATGTGTCTCGTCTGTAGCAGATAGACAATTTGTAAGTAATTTCAAAATGGCTTTATTTACACTTAGAATATTTCTTGGTTTCAAAGATCGAGATTTTCACTTTAAGCAATTCAGGATAAGGTGAATATGCAATAAATATCTCTTCTCTGCTTCTGTTTCGGTATCTTGTCCCAGGTAGAAAAACTCATCAAGTTAGCAAAAACTTAAATGCCCCAACTAGTCATGGAGTTTAAAGAAATGCAGGAAAGAGGATACTCACTGAGCCATGCAAACATTTGACCTTTGTCTGGGGTATCTCAAATTCATCCAGAAATATAAATTTTTTACTGAATTTTACTATTTCAAAACAATAAGAAAATTGCAGTGATTGCAGATTCTTAAAAAGATCTCTTCCTTTTTCTTTTTCATTAAAAAAAATATATATAAAATACAAAAGGAAACTCCATCATACAATAGTGAAAAACCAATAACCCTTGAGATTCTGGTGATCTCTTATATTAACAGGGCCTAAATAGATTAAAAGAGTCTTAAAAATCAGAACTTCGTCTAGTGCTTAATCACAAAGATAAAATTTTAGGTAGTTTCTGTTGTACATTTTGGACTGTTTTGCTGACCCTAACTCCAAAATACTTCAGCATAAAACAAGATTAATTCTGACAATGGGAACTGCAATTTCATAAGTATAGATATAAGGCTTCTTGGACTAGATCAAATAATTTTTTATTTTGCCTGCTGATATTCCCAAAGCCATGGATTATGTAGTCTGTATGTGTTCAGGCATAGTTTCTAAAAACTCAGTTTCCTGTATTAGAGTGTTCATGTAACAGAAATATTTTCAAATTTTTATTAAGTATCATATTATCTATGTAAACCTTTACAAACAAAACTCTCTATTTTCTTCATTATAATATACTTTAGTTTAAGTAGTTAAGTTTTTGCTTTATTTTCTTTTTATGTCTTAAAGTTCTAGAAGAATTCTGATACTAACAAATTGATGGATCCAAGTATGTTTTCATCTTTTTTATAATGACTATATGTGGGTATATAGATCTGCTGGTAAAGAGATGTATTTTTCTTCATAGGTAACTTTCAAGATATTATTTCAATTTAACACAACGTATCTCATGGAAAACATGTTCATCCATTTAAGTGCAACAAGGTTGGTTTATGTGTGTATGCATGTGTATGTGTTTATATAACTACTTTCATATAATTAGAATATTTTGCTTTACAGAGTCACTGGCAAGTTCTTGAAATTTGTATGACATTAGTAAAAGTAAAAGCCCATGAGCCACACTGCTTCACAAAATGCTCTTTTGCATAATTAACAAAATAAGACAATTTTTATTTAAGAGTAATAATCTAATCAACTGGTTTAAATCATTGATATATGAGCTGTGGGACATATTATAATCACACGGCAGTTGTATCTGCTGAACTGCACTCAATGAAGATTTTACAATATCTGCTAATTTAAAATTTTTCCATCAAGGTCAACTGAATCACTAGATGGACTTACTGTTTTACCTTAGCCTTTTTAATTTAAGAAATTTTATCCAAATTGGCAAATCTTCTGAAACTTACCATAAAATACACAGACAAAAATAGCAAAAACTAATAAACTCCATCTCCAGTACCATCTCCAGTGAGACCGAGCACTATCTTTTATTGCTTTTTCACAGTAATTAACATGGTGCCTGTATATAGCATTCGTGAAATAGATGAAGAGTAAATGAAGTTGAAAATGAATTAATGGGTGAACTAATATGTTATGTTCAATTCAATTCAACAAATGCTTATTTGATTTCTGCTATGAAAGATCCTGAGTATCTTTCTAAACTTATTAAATTAAATTACTAAACATGAATATGTAAATTGCTATCTGCCCAATGGTGTGACTTCTACAGTAAGATTTTGAGAGTCGTATAACATTACCGTAATAGAGAGTAGAGTAAGAAAAATTCATTATAGAAATATAAACCATATGTCAGAGACTTAAAGGAGGGTAAAATTATATCTACTTGATAATGAAAACCTAAGAAAGCCTTACCAAGAAATTTTTAATTGAGAAACCTTAAAGGTTGGATAGTATTTCACAATGAGGTAGGTGAATAAGATTAGGTACAGTATTTTTAGGGAAAATATATAGCTTGAGCAAAAATTGAAAAGTAGATTAGTTGGATCTACTTGAGCAATACTTTGTAATCAGTTATATTCGAAGCATAAAGAGTATATAAAGTAGTAAAGTGAAATAAATACCCTAAACATCCTGAAGTGTGCACTCTTCTATATTATGCTATATCAAATGTCAGTCCTTAACGAGATAGGGATTGAGGAGCCAGAAGTCATATGTAAGCTTAATTCATATGCACTGTGGAATAGATGACAGAGAAGGGGGCCATTTATACTAAGAGCTCAACCACGTGAATGCCTAGAACCCAAGGGCATGCAACTTTTGCTGCCCTGTTGCCTGTACCAAGCCACTGTATACACTTGGTAACAAGCAGAGCTTTCGAAAGATACTTATTGCCTATTCTGTGAGACAGTATGCTAGGGCCTTAGTCAGTCTGTGGAGGGGTATGTTTAATCATAATAATAAAGGCCAATTCCTAGGTTAGAGGCATAATCTTAAGCATTTTACACTTATTATCATTTAATCATAATTTATTAATTCTATGATTAAACTATTTTATGAATGAAAAAACTAAGGTGCAAAGTGATTAAATAACTTTCCCAAAGTGTACTGTGTCCAGAAACAATACTATTCTGTAACTCTGTAAGTTATATCATGTGCCATGCTTTTTTTAAAAGTATGACTATTATAATATGAGATGTATGTGTGAACATGTAAATAAAATTATGCATAATTTATTGTGCATATTATATATAATTAATATAACCAACATCAAGGTAATAAATAAATGGTTTACAAATAATATGAATCCAACTATTGCATCTGAAAAGACTATCAAAGTGAAAGAACAGAAGACTTTAGATTTATTCACACATGCCGATAGTTGTATCTCCTTGCAAGGCCTTCACCTGTGATAACTAAGTATTATCTGCGATCCATTTTGTTAAAAGCAAAAATTTGTCCAACTTTTACCTACTAAATGTACATTTCTAGAAGAGAAGCCCAGAAATCTGTGCACTTTAATAATCAAACGTGGGGTTTCTTAAAATTAACGTCGCACAATTTTGGGAAACGAAGCTAAATCAACATAATTTTCAATTCTAGCTGTATATCAGAATCAACTTGGGAATTTTTAACAGTACCCATCTCTGATTTTCCTCCTCACCCCAATTAAAAGATAATCAAGATTCTACTCTTATGCTTCTACTCATTTGGCAATATAAGCATCTCTGCAAATGCATGGAAATGTCTCTAAATAATCAACAGTATAGTGATTTGTCTGAATATGATATGTATTTTCTAGTGACAGCGAAGAACCTACTGAAACACTTTTTGATAATGAAGTAAATATTTCTATCCCAGTAAAATATGAAGCAGGCCTACAGTTTTACAGGTAGGAAAAAACAACATTATATATTTATGATTCTTTTAACATGTTGGTGCTCCAGGTGTGGTCCCTGGGGAAGAAAGCATTTCCATAAATCTCCTGTAAGCTTATTAGAGAGGTATACTGTCCAACCTTACCCCAAACCTACTGAGTCAGAAACTCTGGGGATGGTGTTAAATAAGTCTTCCAGGTAATTTTCATCACCCAACCATTTGAGAACTTGTATTGCAGATAACCCAAACTATGAGGTTCTAGTGATACTAGATTGCATTGGCATTCCAGTTTTAACTCCTAAATACAACCTGAAGATCTATAACTCTTTTACAAAATATAACATTTTCTGAACTTTTACAAAGTTCATCCAAAAAACACAACAATGGAGAAGATCGAACCTTTAAGTTTAGCAGTAAATATAGGATTTTAAATTGCGAAAACAAAAAAAAATTCTGGTGAAATTTTAGTACTACTAAAAATACTCATAATGAATTCATGAAAAAGTTTCACTTAACAATGAAATTTTTATTTTAAAAACTTTAATAGTTTAGCATTTTAGAGCACGTAAACATAAATGACTATTGAACTAAATTACATAACCCTTCACATCTTCCTCAGGATTTTGGGTTTCTGGAAAAAGACAATTCCTCTCTGATTTAAATTCTCTACGAGGGCCAGGGATGTAGCTCAGCGGCGCAGCACCTGCCCAGAAAGCGCGAGGCCCTGGGTTCGATTCCCAGTACCAAAAAAGAAAAGTGAAAAAAAAGACCAAAAAAAAAAAAATCCCCTTAAACTCTCTACGAGTATTTCTATGGAATTATATGGTATGGAAAAAGAAAATAATGAGGCCAAATTAAGGTTAAACTTTGTGTTTTTTTTTTAATTAATTCTTTTTAGCTCTGCAAGTGAATACCATATTTCAGTTGGGGCCAATGAAACTGTCCCTGAAGTAATTAATTCTACTGAGGACATTGGAAATGAAATTAATATCTCCTACTTGGTAAGAATTGATCTCTAAGCTAATCTAAAAGAGTTATTTATTCATTTATAAACTAAGATATTTATAAACATGTTATTTTAGCATTTAATCTCTATATCTTAGCATACTTTTTTTTGTAATTTACTTTATTTAAATTGATAAAAATTACTCATGGAATCAATTTTAAAGACTTACATCTCTAATTTGCTCCTAAAATACAGTAATTTAGATTGACTTTTCCAGAAAAAAAAAATCACTGGGACTGGGAATTTAGCTCAGTGGCACCATGCCTGCCTCCCAAGTAGAAGGTCCTGAATTTGATCCCTGGTACCTCATAAATAATAAATAAATAATAAATCATGGAACCAAATTGATATAACCTATTAGCAGTCCGGTCTTAACTCCTTAATACAAGCTGTATACTTACAAGCTGTATACTTTATTTACATTAATTTTACTAAAGGAAGGAAAAAGTACTCCATTCAAATGATAGATTTAAACACACATTCAAAAGTTTGAAACAATTGAACACAATTATAAATTAAGATAGTCTCAATCTTTTGGAGAATTGTCAAAATGAAAAAAAGCTTCTCTTACAAAATAGAAATAAATGTGTATTCTAAAGATGAATTTTATTTTTTTATTTGAGGAGGAAAAGGGAGGGAGGAAGGAAGGAAGGAAAAAGAAAAAGAAAAAAGGGAAGGAAGAGATAGAGGGGAGAGAGGGAATGAAGAGGTTGCCTATTGTTAATCTTCATTTATTGTAATTTATCAGGGTCAAATTTAAAACATATGCTCCCTATTATGAAAAATGTTGATATAAATAACATTGTTCAGAATATCCCTGATCTTTGTGTTCATCTCTCATTGTTCTGCTGGGGTAAGCTTTAGAATTGGAGTAATGACATAAAAATAAAAGAATACTTGCCAGGCGTGATGGCGCATGCCTTGTAATCCAGCACTTGGGAGGCTGAGGCAGGAGGATTGCTGTGAGTTTGAGACCAGCCTGGGCTACATAGTGAGACCCTGTCTCAAAAAACCAAAAACTAAAAATTAAAAAAAATGAATAAAAGAATACTTGCCAGGCGTGATGGCGCATGCCTTGTAATCCAGCACTTGGGAGGCTGAGGCAGGAGGATTGCTGTGAGTTTGAGACCAGCCTGGGCTACATAGTGAGACCCTGTCTCAAAAAACCAAAAACTAAAAATTAAAAAAAATGAATAAAAGAATACTTGTTGTTATATCCAGTGACTTACTAGTAGCAATTTTACCTAGGAATTTATTGATGATACAATGTTATTTACAATAGCCTAAAACTAAATCTGGGTGCAATCTAACAGCTTAACAATGTTAATTAAATGAATTAAATATTCTGTGAGGAATAACATTCAAAGAATGACAGTTTGTTGTAATATTGTAGAGGTTACATTCTGAAATAGTAAACCCTAATTCTACTATTTAACAGCTCATTGACCTTGTAAGACTTTTATTCTCTTTCATTCCTTACCTCATAAACACTTCTAACCATAGTGCTGTTACCAAGGTTGAGACAATAACACAACATGATTGGCACATCATCAACAACCAATATTGATATCGTGATTTTCTTTTTAGCCATTAACAGTCATATTCTCCCCCTCCAAAAAAAAAAAACACCTGTTTGGGAGAAAAATGTCGTAGCATAACAAATTTGATGGACAGTATACAGAATTTTATGTTTTGATGTGATACAAATTTTATAAAATATGAATATATACAAATAATTAAGACATGTAATATACACTCAAACATTATCAAGGTAGTTGGATTATAGGAAATTCAGTTTCTGATTATTTTCAGTAGTTTCCATGAATATTTTTTAGAAAGAAAAACTAAGCAATGATAACAGAATACATGATTTCTGACAATATGTCAGGGAAGAAATGAATTTCAAATGGAAGCTATGCCGGGCAAGCCCAGGGCAGATGACCATAAGAAGCCAAGAGTTGAAGAACATGCTCATATTGCAAAGGCCAGGCATAGCGGGGCAAGAACCTCCAGATTTCCAGGATTAAAGGGTACATTTAATCTTCAGCAACCGTCAGAACAACTGTCAGTCCTGAAGTCTTAGTCTGATTGATGGTGGATTTTATGGTATCTGTCTGTAGAGTTCATAGAGCTCCTATTGGGTAAAGAAGCTGCCCAAAGAGGCTGCAGAGAAGGGTTAGGACCTGGAGATTTTCCTTGTGGTGGGAAGGAGGACACTATGCCCCGATGGCCCCAACTCACTTGTACCTTCTAAGCAGGCAAGGACTTCTGGAAAGTGAGTTCACCTTCCTGCAGAACTTCATTCTGTCTATCCTTCTCTAAATGCTACATTCGTCATTGGTGGCACAGTGTGATACTAAGTGAGGATTCAGGGTTAGTGGTTAATGACAAGTGAGATGGAGATGAGTCTGTCTTATTCTCCGTAGACCATGTTATCAAAAGCCAGTGACACAGCTGGAGATGGAATTGTGAAGGGAAGTAAATGAGCGTCTGGTTTTCCTGCACAGTGCTGACAGATCCTGTCTAGCTAGAGTTGGAGATGATTTATGGCTTTTGGGAATTGTGATGAACAAGGCTGAAGCAACCATAAATATGCTAACTAAATTCTAAATTATTCTACATAGATCAAGCTACAAAACCCTGGCTTCTTAGAAAGGATCATAAGCACAGCAAGAGCATAACTGATTCTGATTTTTCAGTTAACAGATTCCAATTTTCTATTAATCACAGTGCTTTTTAAGAGCAAAGGTGAAGGAACAATGATTGTAGCTGTTATGATACAAACATTCACATTTTCTTTCTGGCTTAATTAAGCCAATTTCCATACAGTGCATAAACCATCTTTATTTGGGGATTCAAATTTCTATGCAGTTTGATTTATCAATGAAGAACCAAGTTCCTACGTAAGATGAAAAGGACATTGCAAAAAGAGGAAGAAAAGTTTACATTTCTATTTTATTCCTACAGATTAGAAAAAGAGGACATTTTCCAATGCCAGAACTTAAACTGTCAATTTCATTCCCCAATTTGACATCAGATGATTTTCCTGTTCTGTACCCAAGTAGATGGTCAACCTCTGATGTAAGTCATGTGCGCCTTGGGATTGTGTCTTTAGTGTTACTTCTTTGCTTTGAATTTGAGCTTTTTGCTCTGCATGCCACTTAGAGTTTAAAGTAACATGGCATTTAGAAGATTAAAAAACAATAATAAATTCCACTAGTTGTTTAGTAGATGCAGTAATTCTCTGAAGGTGCTGTAGCAAAGTATCAAAAATTGGTAGCTAAGGAATAACAAAAATTTATTCTTTCATAGTTTTGAGGACCAGAAGTCCAAATTCAAAGTTGGTTTCCTCTGGACACCTGAGGGAGAAGCTGTTCCGTGTTTTCTTCTCTAGCTTCTGGTGGCTGGCTGGCAACTCTTGGCATTCCTTGACTTGTGACAACTCCCATCTCTGTTTTCCAATCACCTTCTTCTCCGTGATTTTTCTGTGTCCTCCCTTCCTGACTGTATTTTTTTTCCTCACTTATCATTGCATTTAGGGTCCACTCAAATTCAGGACATTCTTATCTGGGGATTTTTAATTTAATTATATCTGCAAAGACCGTATTTCCAAATGAGACCACATTTACAAATTGAGGGCGTTAAGGATTTGGGCATATCTTTTTTGGATCATCATTTAATCAACTATAGAAGATTTTAGATCATTAATTGTCTATGCCATGAAGTATTTGTTATACTGTTTCATTTGTTTAAAGTGGTCAAACAGCTCTCTAAAGCCACTTCTTAGTTGTTCTTATACATAGCCATGCAAAAAATACTATTATTATTAGTTAGTGTCCAAAACATTAACAAATCACAGTATTAATGCATGCATGATTTCAGCATTTGAAAAATTTATTTTCTTCACACATTTTAAAAGAACTGTTCTCAAATTCAAAAAGAAGCAACTGCAGTAGTCAGTTCACAATGATTGCTTTTCTAAGGACAAGGAAAAAAACCTCTGGAATTTCCCTCTAATTCTAAAACATAGGTTTGTGAGAATCTACAGAGAGAAAAACTGTAATTTTCATATTACTTTATTAATTTTTGTCCTATTGTCTTTTATCTTGGATGCAAAATTTTAGTTAGATTGAGTCTAGAGAAACAATCCCAAAACAAACTTGCCTATAATCATGGCTTTTCAACATGTATAGTGATGCTGCTTATATCTTCCTCCCACATATGCTAAGGATATTATTTTTGGTGTATAGGGACTCAAAATATTATTGGGTAAATACATAAACACAGACAAAAGTTCTTTTCAGTTCTGTTTCATAAATTATCCTATAAACCATCATACAAAAGAACAATGCTTTTTCCTCAGTTGAGTTTTAAATTTTTCTCAACCCATGTTATTGGAATTTACAAACCAATCCTTAAAAAATACAATAAATTATTGAGTACATCACTCATAAAATAGTAAGTTCTACTAGCATCGTTTCTTTACTTTTACAACCTGACTGGAATGAATTACAATTCAAAAGTGACATGATAATGCTAATTATTTTACAGGGATAGGAATATATGGATGGTGCCTAACAACCTCTTTTCTTACAAAAACAAATATTTAATGAATGGCAGTGGCTATCTTTCACAGTTTCTTCATGATACTGTATCACTTCATTTTATTCCTTTGGCATTGTCTAATAAAAACAATTTTTACTGTTTAGAATGCAAACTGTAGACCTCGTAGCCTGGAAGATCCTCTTGGTATCAACTCTGGAAAGAAAATGATTATATCAAAATCTGAAGACCTCAGACGAGGCACACTTCTGGTAAACTGTTATTTTTACCTTATGTTTTAAATTAGAATAAGTTCAATATCAACTTGGAAATAATAATCTAAAGCATTTTAATATAGTATTTTGGTTATATAGCAAGGGTACTAATAATATACCCCTCTCGACATTCAAACAGGACTGCAGCACTTGTAAATTTGCTACCATCACATGCAATCTCCTTCCTTCTGACACGAGCCAAGTGAATGTTTCGCTCATCTTATGGAAGCCAACTTTTGTAAAAGTAAGTGTTTGTGTTTTTCTTTGCAGTTATTGAATCAAATCCATAAATGTCTGTCCACCACTTAGTATGAGTGTGCAAAGCACACAATAGAAAGAACATGAGGTTGGAAGTCAGGATGTGATCTAATCACCAGCTCAGCTTAACCAGCTGTGTGAGTCTCATCTTCCCTGTTAATTACCAAGTTGTTTCCAAGGTCTCCTTTTAAAAGAATATTTCAAAATAAAAAGAATTTTTTCTTTCTCACCCTTTTTCTTTGAGATGAATACATCTCCAGAACCATAGCTTGTCATTATCTTAATAGTTTGGAACCCAATGAAAGTATGAGGAATTATAGATTGACAATCTTTGACACCACTAACAAAGGAGAGAGCTGGCATCTATATGAATTTATGTTATATTGAACTTTTTATTCTATATAAATACATGTTAACCCTTTTTCAAGCAACAGCATGGATTTAGCTCAGTGGTGCCTCACAAGCCCAAGTTCCCAAGATTGATCCTAAATACCCAAAAAAAAAAAAAAGTCTACTTTGATCTATGTCAAACAACAAACTACTTTAAAACCTGGGGGCAGGTTGTATTGTTTGGTTCTCTCTTAAGAAGTATTTAGTTGACCCTATGAAACCATTTTCAGGTTTGAGCATATTAAATAGCCACTTCTCTAAGTTATGCCATCTTGAATATTTAATTTTATGGCTAGTCCTAAATAAGTGCTACCTGGTGTAACTATTTAATGCTACATTTATGTAGCTATTTCCTACTACACTAAAGGTATGAAGAGCTTGAGGTTTATTTCTCTAAGAAATAAATCAGAAGGGAAATAATTTGTAAAATTATTTTTACTCAGTGACAGGAATGTTAAGTGAAGATTTGGAGAGACCAAGAAGGGGCATGGATACCCAGTCATCATTAAATACTATCAGTTCTGTTTGGAAGTTAACAAAGTCAGTGCTTTTAATCTCAGGAACATCTCTGCTTTAATAACTATTTTACTCAAACATGACCCACTCTCATTTTGTTATTAGCATAATGTATTAAAACAAATCCTATCTGCTTTCTAGACACATTTTTCCAGCTTAAATCTTACAATAAGGGGAGAGCTTCAAAGTGAAAATTCATCACTTGTTTTAGATAGCAGCAACCAAAAAAGAGAGGTAAGTGCAGCTCTAAGCTTTGAAAGTGTTATGCATTTTACTCCAAATTTTGTGACATAATTTTTAATAATTTTTATATTCCCATAAGCTGTGGCTGGTACTGCTCTCAGTAAGTGACAGGTACCATTTGTTTCATAGTTCACTAACTTCAAATGAGACTTTAGACTTGTTCTTCTCCCTAAGAAACTAGGAAAATCATCTTTATAATTAATGTGCCATGTTTGACTTTATTGCTTATATCACAGCAAATGGATGTTTTGGCTCTCACATCGATAACAAGTAATGCATTTGTAATTCTCCTTCTTAAAAATCAACATTATAAAATGTGGCTGATATCTGAAGAGCAAACTTGGAAAACCAATTTCTTTTCATAAAATGCCATTATACTATACAGAAATAATGTGTGAGTTTTTAAGAAGTTTCTCCATTTAGTCATTGGGAAATCTGAAACAAAACTGAGATAGTATACCCTAACATAAATTAGGTCTAAATTCTGAATTTGAGGTTTTTATTCTTAAACTTCTATGAAATGAGGCCAAAGTATGTGTTACAGATACAGAAACTTCAGCATGATTTCCCTTCCTATCATGGAGAATTTAAATATCCCCTGTGGTAAACAGTACTTCAAGAGTCAAATTCCATTTAGAAGCTTTCTCCATTCACATGTTCTTGTAAAATTGCCTATTTCAAACTATTCCAATGTCAATGATCTCTGGTAAGTATGTTCCTTAAAAAAAAAAAGGAAATGCATGCATTTAACACTTTCCACTTCATAAAAAATACTAAGTTTGATCAGTGCAGAATGCAAAATCATTCCAGTCACATAAAAGTCAACATTTCACAAAAATTTGAAAAATACAGCTATTTATTATATTGGAAGAAGGTATATTTGATTCCTAAATATGTTATGTTAACATTTTTAATTAGCTTTATTTTTCTTAAAATTCTCTTGGAGACATTTATTTTACATTTGCTCCTAAAGGAAAATTATATCTATATTAATGATTTTATACAAAGTGGTCATTTTGTAAGTGTGTGATCGATCTTGGGGAAGTCACTGATCTTATGTAGACTCCAGCTTCCACATATTTAAGTTCAGATAATCATTTTAGAAGTTTTTACAGTCTGTCTTAGTGGTCTGATTCTATTCTATATATGTCTATATTCCAGTCTATCAGCATTGACCTAACTAGAGTGATTTGAGGGATTTTGATTAGTGTCTATTACATGGAAATATGTCCCCTGTTAGTTCCTTCTTTACTCTCATTTTCCCTCCTGGTGAAGGATTTGAAATATTCCTTATTAAAGGCAAATACAGAAACTCCAGCTACTGTTAACCATTGACATATACCCAAATTAAATGGTTTTTTAGATATTTAAGATATGGGTCACAGAGCAGACAAGTTTCATGTTTGAGTATGTCACTATGAAGCCCTCAGTAGCTGGCATGCTGAAAACTATCCATTTCATGGTTTGATTTTAGCCAAGACCTTCATAAGGTGAAAGACATAAGTCAACTGGTATGATAAAAAACCACATCAGGGTCTATGTATAAATACCTATATGCTTGAGATTTGTGCATGTTATTGAATGAAAATTATATTTTCACATAATTAGAATTATAACACATTAGAACTAGAGTGAGAAGATCTACTTGGATTTTTATTTCACAACCTATGTTCTTTGAGCTTAGCCAGTGCTGTTGCGATAATGTACTGTCTGTTAAGAAATCTTCAAAATATGTAATACTTTGGTTTTCCCTGAGTTAAACAGAAATTCACTCCTACCCTTAAGCATTCTTATGCATTGATAGTTTTCTATGTATAAAGCTCTGAAAGATAAAACTCTTAATATTTTCTTGGTAATAGTAATTTTGATGTGGTTAGGGATTTATAAAAGATGAAGAACATTTTCCAATGTAAACTCAATGTTGTCTCTGTATGTAGGACTGAGATTAAGCACACTGTTTGGTGGAAAATTATAACCTGCAAGAACTCAGTGTTTCAGGAGTTCTAGTGGGTGCTTATTTATGTTAACAACTTATTTAACAATTTTCAGCTTGCCATTCAAATATCCAAAGATGGGTTACCAGGAAGAGTGCCTTTATGGGTTATTCTCTTGAGTGCTTTTGCTGGATTGCTGCTGTTAATGCTGCTCATATTAGCATTGTGGAAGGTAAGTGCCAAAGTTCGTTTGATTCTGTTCCAACCATCAACAGCAAATTAATGAAATAAACTATGATTTATCCCTACTGTGGAATATAATATTAAACAGCAAAGAAATAGACATTGAAGTGATGACCAAGATAAAAAGAGTGCATACAATTTAATCCTATCTTTTTAAAGGGAAATAAATTCAGAAAGATATATCCAGAAATCATGGAAGATCACTAGAGGTTAGGGATTTAGAGGATCTTCATATGTTAATAACATGTGAAATATCATAATAAGTACTACTTTTATAAACAGAGAAGAAAGATATAAAAGAATGAATTCCTTTGTAAGTTTGAGGATCATAAGCAATAAATTCATGGGTAAGATAAGCATTCTACTAATCACACATCTATATTTTAAAGATCAAGTACTGGTTTAATTTTAAAAAATAAAAAGACATACCACATTTTATGCAGTACTTTTGTGCCTAAGTGAAGGATGGAAATTTTACTAATAATTTGATACAAGGGAAATTTTAAAGTTTCACAGACTTTTACTTCAAATTCTTTTGTGAGACTGAGTCACTATTTTCTGTAAGGTTAATCTAGATATTTATACAGGTACTAGGATTAGACAGAGATGTGAAAGATTTTTTTAAAGTCTGAACCATATAATTTTCAAACAAATATAGATGATAATCACTTTTAGTATAAAGAGAGGAGAAAACCCTGCAGAAAAGTTAGATGTAATATTTTTTAAATTAAAATATTAGCCTTTACTCTAGCAAAACATATACTATGTTTTAATTGATGCTTTGTTAAATAGTTAAAACATGCTCAAAATACAGAATTTAGCTACACATTTATTTTTCTAATACATAAAAAATTAATTAACCAAATAGTAAGTTTCTCTGGCATTGAATTACTAATTGTTCCTATCCTTTCTGACTCTTATTAAATGACTAACTTCCTCTTTAAGGTTTTACTGTCAGAAGACAAAATGACACAAAGTCATGTTAAAGATGTAGGTCAATGATATTTATTTCCATAAGAATCTATAAGGTTTTCTTTCCAACAAAATTCTCCATCAAATTAAAAGTCCATTATTCCTCTTTACAAGGTGTCAGTATACTCTCTGTAATACCTGATGTTGCCACACTGTGGTACCCAAGGCCTGGCTTATTGATTGTGCTTGAAATGCAGGAAGTAGTTTCATTTATAGGCACCATTAACACTGAGTTTCTGATAATTTCTCTCAGTATGGTCTTCTATTCTGAGCACTATGTTTGCCTGTATAGTTTTAGGACACCTCTGGAAAGAGAATAAGAAAGCCAGAGCTGAGATTTGGATAGATTCTGTCTGGCCTCATCCTTCTGTTTAAGACAAACAGGAACTTTCATCCACCTGCTTTTTATATTCTTTAGTGTAAAAAAGTATAAATGTAAAAACAAACACATTTTTCTATCAGCAGTAAATGTTGTGTTGATCCACTCTGATAGGGTCTAAGATTCTTTTGGGCCTCAAAGAAGGTCACTTAACGAACTTTAAACTGTCTTGACAATAGGTTTAGTTAGTTTAAAGACTTCATTGGAAGGCTTAGCAATCAGAACTATGCTTCCAAGGCAGAAGGGCATGAAGTTAGCTTTTACTACATATTTAACATGTGTCAGGATCTGTTTTAAGCATTACTGTTTTAAGCATTCCTACTTAATATTCATATTAAACCATGATAAAAACAATATTATGAGCCTCATTTGTCCACAGGGAAACAAAGGCACCGAAAAGTTAATTGTTTTCCAAGGCCATATGCCTAGTAAAGTTCAGAATAAGGATTTGAATCTTGTACCAACACTATCTGTTAATCACTCTGTTGTCTTTACAATAACCTTTTCAGCCAAGTATCTTTACATTTACACCTAAGAATGTTAAAGCAAAGAAGCTAACTAACTTACCCCAGGTTTCTAGCTGGTAAATGATTTAATTTCAGGAACAATCTGTCTCCAGAACCCATCTATTTTTCAGTATATCCCACTGCTGTAGACCTTATGGCAGAAGGTCATGAACACTCTGAAACAAAGGTGCTTGGTATGGAATGAGATCTCTTGCTGTTTTCAGACTTTCAGAAAATGTTAATCCATATGCTCCCTTTGCTTTGAAACCTTAGTTCAGTTTGTGGTAGGCTCAGAAGAACTGACCCCTTTCCCATACATATCTGTGTACTGAATAAATATGGAGCAGACACCTCTGACTACCAATTTTTTCCCTTCTCCTGGACCCCACCACTCTGGACATTCAATAGAACATCATAATCTGAAACTACATGTTAAGTACAGGTCAAGTCCTTTTGGAACAACAATTCAGTTTTAAAAGACACAGCCTTTATATATCTATCTTCCTAGTGCACATGACAAAAATGAAGTCTGGACAAAATTTCAGCAACTGATAGGTTGAGAAACTTGTCTTGAAATATGGTTCTATAGGCTGAGAGACATGCCCATCAGGCCAGTGTAACCAATAAATAGAATGATGCAGTACACAGAGAAACCACGAGAAAGCAGAACATTCCTCCTCTGACTTGCTTCATACTGCTGCCTAAGGTTTAATGATTATTAATCCCAAGACTTTGTTTCCTCTCTTAGTCACTTTCCTTCACTGGGTCAGACATACTCAACACCCACACCTTAAAGGAGGAGAGGTTTATTTTGGTTTACTGTTTTAGTCCATGGTTGGCTGGTTCCAAGGCAGAAACAGGATCGCAGAGGGGACTGGTGGAGGAAAAGTCATTCAAGCCATGGCAGACAAGAAGCAGAAAGGAAAGGGATGAGCCAAGGTCAAGAATACACTCGTGCAGGTCATTGCCTCCAGGGACCCACTTCCAACCAGGCCCCACCTCCTAACGGGACACTTAGCTACTGAATCATCAATGGATGAATCCACTGATGAGTATCACACCTCCATGATCTAATCACTTTCCACACATGAGAATTTTAGAGGAATTTTAAAATCTAGAGCATTATGTTCTCTGTCCAATATAACTTATTGGGAGGAAGGGCTAGAATAATCCTCTTATCCAGTCTCTTAATAGTTTCAGTTACCCAGTCAACCATGATCCAAAAATGCAAGACATTATAAAAAGATGCTTTGAGAGAAAGAAATAAAGACCACTATTATATATACCATTATAATTGTTTTATTATATAATTAGCTATTGTTAATCTCTCAATTTATAGATTAAACTTTATCAACTTTATCATTGGTATGTACACATGGAAAAGATAATGTATCAGGCATCCACTGAGAATTTTAGAAGGTATCCTTTGTGGATAGGGAAGAGGTTGTAGCACCTCAGTATTTTTTAGTCTTTTATGTATCAGTATGAATTTAATCATTCTATGTTTATTCCATATTTTATTCATTAACCACCTACTTTTCGCCATAGGGTTTTGAACTAGGAAGTATAACAAGGATTATTAAAGATACAAGAAGGAAGAAAGAAAAGTGAATGCTACAAGAAAAATTTAGGGTCCAAAAACTAATTTTCTTGTTTCAGAATTTTTTAGGATTGGCCCAATCCAGTTGCAACTATAAATTTTATTCTCCTAATTTCCACTGTGATCCCCAACTTTCTTTAAACATCAATATTTACAGAATTTGCTGTATAGAAAAAATTAGAGAACAGAAGTTAAGTTTTAAAATAGGACATGTATGGTATGGAAGCAAAGAAAGGTTGAAAAGAAGAGAGATTTAAGAGAGGATGGAGAGAAAATAAAAAAGCAAGGCAGAGCAGGAAGGAGAATAAGGCTTAAGATTCACTAGCTGCTTTTGTGAAAACCTCATCTGATTTATTTTCAACTTAGGACATGCAGGCACGCGTCAAGGTATGTAATAGTTTGTGAATCTAGAACTTTTATAGTTGGCTGAAAGAAAAGGGCTTAGAACCTGGGTACAGCTGGCATTCTGAGAATGACAAATTTATTACTATTTTTATGTTCATTTTCTCTGTTACCACCTTTTGCTCAACTACTACCAACCAGATTCTGCATGGTAGATGTCCAGAACCCTGGGCAGAACCCTAGCCCCAGTGTACTTACTTTTAACCCTTTATCCTCTTCAAGCCCTCAGATGTTCAATAATTATTTTTTAAATGTATAGTTTCTATATATAATTTATATAACTTTATGATTAAAATGATGTGGGGGTACTATACTTTCAAAGAATTAAATGATTGCTTTTCTTTCACCTGCCTAAGGCCACTCTCAAATTTTAAAACATACACAAATTTGAAAAGTTACTTCCCTATGATTTTTAATTTCTTTTCTTTTCTTTGATAGACATTGTAGATTAAGACATTGCAAAGATACTTTCCAGCTCCCATATATGTTTGTTATTCTTGTAATAGGAAATAAATACATGATGTATAACTTCTTATGATGATCCAAATCACAATCATAATCATAATCATAATGAAATGATTCTCATTCACTACATTGTGAAATTTTTCTCATTGTGAAATAATTTTCTTATTTAAATGATACAAAGGGCTGGGGATTTAGCTCAGCGGTTCGGTGGCCTGCCTTGCAAGCTCAAGGACCCGAGTTCAATCCCCTGTACCAAATAAATAAATAAATAAATGATACAATGTCTTTCAAGAGGCCGTTGGTGCAAACCTGCAGGCAGGTGTTCTGACACATTTAAAGTTGAACCAGAAAACTCAGAAATCCCTTTAATCCATGAGCCTTGGGATACCTATTACATTCCCTGTAAGCTCTAATGACCTGAATGTATGACCACAGGTTATTTGATGAAAATTTCTTGCCACATCCCTGAAAAAAGATGCTGACAATGTAGGAACAGTGCTACCTAACTGCAACTTGTGTGGTTCTAAAAATATTTCCCAGAACTCTTTAAATTAGCTCAATACATATAATACTTTTCACTCAGAGGCACCATATAGTTAACCAATTAAAAGGTTAAAATAAAATAGCAATTTGATAAATGTTATTTTCTTGACATTTAAAATTAATAGGTCAGTGAAAAAGTATTTTTCATGAATCAGTTGTATGCCCAGATTTGCCAATATAGTATTAAATTCTATGCAAAGAGATTAGTTCTTTTTACATAAATTAAAATAATTTTGTATGTTTTATGTTTTTTCAATAGATTGGATTCTTCAAGAGGCCACTAAAGAAGAAAATGGAGAAATAAAATTTTTTTGTAAGAGAAAAGAATAACAATTATTCAGTGACCTATCCTCAGGTTTGCCTCAAATATGTGACAAGAAATTTATAATATAATAAAAGGCGTGGTCACATAACTCAATGAAATCCACCAGGGATTAATAACTCAGTAAATAACAGATCAAGCATGATCCAAAAAGAATACACAAAAGGTATATTTTATAAAGCAATGAAAAATATTTTAAATACTCATTTTTTGAGTAAGCAAAATTACAAAGTGTTTTAAAGAAGACTAATTTATACAAATGTTTATATCTTAAGTCATCATCCAAAGTACAGTATTTAAGGAATGCAGGAAGAGTTCTATGATGATTGAAAAATTTAATTTTAGAACAATATAAAATTAGCTTGGTGGTTCTGCCTCCTGCCTCACAGGTCCTGAGTTCAATCTCCAGTACCAAAAAAAAAAAAACCACATAATTTTTCTCTTGATTCCTGATGGATGTCAGAATTCAGCTTGACAGCATTTGTAAATGTCCAAAAATGAATTACCTGAAAGAGATTATTTCTTTCAATTAAAATGGGAATATTTTTCCCTAGTAGAATCCACATACAACGTGGACTGAAAATAAAACCAAATCACAAAGATACATTTAACATCTTTGTGCTGGGTTTTGTAGTTGGAAATATTTTCTTCAAGTGATTGGAAAATAGTGATGTTAAGCTGACATTCTGTGTAAGATAGAAATCAAGATGGTAATTGTTTAAAAACAAGTGCACTGAACAGATTAATTTATACTTTTACAAAACAAGCTTAATGTTGATATTGAGCTCTAAACATAAAACGTTTTTTATACAGAAAAAAACACTTAAAGCAGTTTTGTATAGCATAACGGGGATTTATCACGAAAAGCCATGTTGTGTGGGGGACGTGCCAAAATGGTTTTAGAAAGGAACGTGTCAGCATAGACAGATAACCCTGAATGCTAAAATCATTTGCTAAGCAGCTTTCAGGATGTTACATAAAACAGAAGTCTTCTCGACTCCTTGGTACAGGGTTCATTAAACCCCCAAACTGTGAGAGTATGTTTATTTTTTAAAGGTATTTAATCTTCCAAACACACTTCTTATTTTCTAGAAAAGACAGTGTTCCATTTCAACATTGCACTTCACCAAAAACTTACTTCAATATATAAATAGAGCCCCAGAAATGTAATTTGAAGAATTTTGAGTCTGAAAGCTCACGTGAACAGGAAGATATCACACCTCTGTGTGCTTCTTCGTTCTTGAATTAATCTTTGCAGCTCCTTGGACTCTGCTGACGCATTAAGCTTGTAGGCTGCTGCATTTCTTAGGAAAGTAACAGTGAGTGAAGATACGTAACTGCATGTGTGAACTACTGCTGTAACATTATTTGCAGATACCGCTTCAATGACTCCTCTCCACTTGATTTACTGTCATAACCCAGAATGTGTCAATGTCTAGAAGGTCCTGGGCTTTGCTTTCCTTGTAAAAGAGAAAGTCAACAGAGAAACTAAATGCCGTGAGTTTAATTTTTTTAAAACTGATTTTTAAGGAATTACCTAAAGACTCAGAGTCGGCCTACCTGTTGGCTCCACCTCTTCATCTAAGATCCCGAACAACCAGAAATGTGTTTGGGAGATGCCAACGTTATCGATGGTTAGAAAAAAGGATAAATCTTTCTAGAGCTTGGCTGTCCTCCATCTGGTTTGTCACTGTTCTGAAATAATTTTCTTTTGGAATTTCTCTCTTCAGGAAGCATTCTTTCTACCCGTTCCCCCCCCCACACACACACACAACAAACTCCACTCCATATTCCAGTGCATGCTCACTTGCTCTGCTCTGAACTCAGCACCTTCTTCAAAGCCAATCAGACAGGTAAATTTAAATCCTTAATCGCATGTGTGACTGATAGACAAAGCATTCATTGAACTGTAAGTGTGGGTATTTAAACAAAAGCAGAAAGAAGGACATTTTGAAATTTTTCAAAGACAGAGAAGGAACTATTTGGCCAGATCAGCTACCTTCCATGGCCAATTGCTTAACACAATTTCTGTCATGAGTGATTCCCGGTTATTAATAGAATACATAATGAACCAGAGAAACCATTTCTCTTATACTTTGTTGCAGTCTTTGTGAGTATACGTATATGTATGCGTGCACAAACATATGCAGTTGAATACAAAATACCTAAATAATGCCAAATGAAATTAACATACAAAAGCTTCAGCAGAAAGAAAAGCTTGATTCCTTCATTTTTCATGCAGCACTTGTTTTTCACTTATATTTGGGCTTAGCTAATATTCCTGCCAAATACAAATGCAGAAGGTTTGATTTTTTTTTTTTTTTTTTTTGTACTGGGGATTGAACTCAGGACCTTGCATGTGCAAGGCAGGTGGTGGCTCCACTGAGCTAAATCCCCAGCCCACAGGGTTTAGTTTTAAAAATAACAGCAAAGGTTCCAAATTAGCTTTGAACAAATGTTCTATAACATATTTATGATTAGAAAATATGCTAAATTCTAATATTTTAAGACAATAAAAAAGTGGATAGTATTTAACATTATTTGTGAAATAATAGGATAAATTAAATTGCCAAAGATTATTTTTCTTTACTTTTCATAGTTTTTTTAAAAATGACTTTTGGCTTCTATTGTGAATATTACAGTCCCTTTTTTGACCAAATTTGGCCAATGGCACATTGGTAAATTATTTAACACTTTGCTCTCCAAGAAGAAAAAAATCCTTAATGTTATCAATTACTAGTGTTCATGGTTTATTCTCTCCATAAGTGTTTGTTTGTTTGTTTTGATACTGGGGATAGAACTTGGGTCCTTGTGCTTGCAAGGCAGGTGCAGAATCACTGAGGTAAATCCCTGGCCCTCCATAAGTGTTTTTTGTTTGTTTGTTTGTTTGTTTTTGAGACAGGGTGAGACTGACCTGGAACTCACTATGTAGCCCAGGCTGGTCTCAAACTCACAGCCATCCTCCTGCCTCAGCCTCCTGAGTGCTTGGATTACAGGTGTGCACCACCATGCCAAGCTCTCCACAAGTGTTTTTAGGCTACCAACATAATGAACTTACCCAGCTTTTAAAATTCCTAGAAATGTGTCAGTCAGTTCTTACGAGCTAGTATAAACTGGCTTTACTCCTAAAATAGATCACATAATGGATGGATGGATACATACAGAGACAGAGACAGATACCTAGATGTCTATTTACATATTCACATTCACACAATGTAATATTTAAAATTATGCTAAAATGCTAATTATATTAAAGCAGTCGACATAATGCTACATGGTTTGCCATTCTTCATTGTCAATTTCTTAAAATTATAATATCTCTTTAATATTAATAAAGTGACATGAACTTGTAGGAGAGGAGAGGAAGGAATGGAAAGCAACAAAATGCAATGAAATGCAACCCACAGTGAAAATCTAATCTACTCAGCAGCCACAAAAAGGCTGTTTTGCTCTCTCAAGGAATCACAGCCCTGCAAGCAGCATTACGAAGGGTCCTTTATAAATATTTTAACTTCTATGATAAAATTTAAACTTCAATGATCAACTTATTTAAAATATTTTCCTCTGAGCAGGAGACTCTTGGGCAATTTAGTTCCTGAATATTTTCTTTGTTGTAAGCATGCTTGTAAAGAGGTTGTGGGAAGAGATGCTTTTTTCCAAAATTTGATGCTTAACTATAATAATTTTATCTGTAAATATGTATGCACATTCACATGCATATATTTCCATATATAAATTCCCTCTTTTCCTTTTTTGAAACCAAGACCTAAGCTCAATTAGAAAACAGAACTATTTGCACCAAAAGAAAAAAGTACTTGGTTGGTGATGGGATAACACTGAGTTGGAGAGGAGACTGTTTACAGCTCTGGCTCTGTGCGGCTGTCTCTTGTACACTGTGCTCAGCAGCCCATCCGCTTCCAGGCAGTGCAGTTTTCCATGGGTGATGTCGTGGCTGAAAACGCCATCAACTCTGTGTGAATTGCCTGCCTTTTTCACACAACACTGTGCAATCTGGAGAAGACTGGGGCCCGGATCCTGTCTCATGCGCTACCTGCATTCATATCATTGTCCAAATAAAGTGCATTCTGGCAAGTAAGTGGCTAAAAAATAGTATTTTTAAATAGATTGTTTATGTAGAATTTCCAAGTGCAGAGTTGCCATGTTATTATGGAGCAGGAACAAAGTGAAATGTACTTCAGAGATGCAATGCTCTAAGAGATTTACAAGCTACGTGGGACAGTATCAGCAATGATGCCAGCACCCTACAATTCCCATCCTCACTGTGAAATTATTTAAAAAACCCAAAAACTGAGAAGACGGGCCTTAGTCTCAAGCTAATGTCGTATTTTGTTATCAAAATGTGCCATTTAATTGCAAATAGCAGACTTTTATATGCAAATACAACTTCAAGATGAGGCCTCTTCCAATCACTCAGCTATCCCAAAACTCCTTCCACACAGAAATCCTGAAACCGCCACTGGGCCTTAACTGTGAAAGAAGCCCAAAGCACATTACAAAATGCTATGGATGGGGCCAGCATACTGCTCAGTGAATGGCTGGTCAGGGTAAGTGTTCATGTGTAGCGTATGCAAGGCCCTGAGTTTGCTCTTCAGAACCAAAAAAAAAAAAAAAAGAGAGAGAGAGAAGAAAGGGGACACAGAGTGTTCCAAATGGAAGTACTGTTGTACAACACTACTATGTAGATCAATAAAAATGGTGTTAAACCATAACATTATAATCCAGTGAACACGTCACTTTTATTCTCACATTAAAATTTACCTTAAATTTGGAAATTCAAAGTAACAACCTTTTCAGCATCAAACTTGGATTTAGGAATTCCAAGTCCCAGCCTTTAACTCTCAGCCTTGAGGAAAATGTAAAGTTGTACATACTGGCTCCTAAGTCCCAGCCTGATTGTCCAGTACAGCATCTGGCACCCAGGAAGTCCAGTTCCTAACTGATGAAAATGCTGCTTTCTACCTTTATAAAACCCCCAAGTTTAACTCCTAAATCTTCCACTGTTCTCCTGCAAAGATGAGTAGCTTCTCTCCAACTCTCTGATTTGAGGACAGCTCATTTGTTTTTGTCATTTTATATAAAAATCTTTCTCCTGTGGCTTATGAATTTAAAACTTCACACAAGTCTTCCTTACATTTCCCTCTTGCCACATCCTGAAGAATTTCAATGCTAAGAGGACTGGGCAGCAGAAGCCAGAAGCTTCTTTGCAGGAGCACTCTGCTTTCTGCTTTCCAGCTGTTTTTTTCTCTTTTCTAGGCACTGTGGGGATGTTTTGTTTTGTTTCGGGGCTTCCTTGGTGAGGTCATTCCATGCCTGTCTCTTGCAGGGCCTTTGTCTATGGCGTGCTATTTTTGTTGGTAAACATAGACTCAGAAATTCTTTAATTATCTGTCACACCATAGAAATCGGAGCACTAAACAAGAGCTAATGAAATTCAAAGCTTTGATTATATTTGTTTTTTCCTTATTTCAAGTAACATTCTTATTTTTAAAAACAGTGAGTGTAGAATTTTCTGAGCTGTGCTGCCATAGACTGACTTAGTATCTATTCTTTTATTTCAGCTTAATTTATGTATGTAAACCAAAGACAAAATTTTTAAAATAAATGTTCCAAATGACACCAGCATGCATGTCAGTTGTGCTCTTGAATAATTCCTTGTTGTCATTACCTGTTCCCACCGCTGGTTTTTAAGAAGTGGAGATATATTAAATGGGAAGAGGTGAAGTAACATAATTTTTCCTTTCCTCCACATAGTAGCCAAACAGAAGGAAGCCACCATTGCCAGGTGACAATCTTTCTGTTGTTTTTCTATAGCATTTTATACCTTGAGAGACAGAAAATAAATGGGAATGGGAGTGAACATGCAAGTATTGTGTAATTTATATCTACGTCCTTACTCCTCAAACTTCCATAAACTCCCTGAGACCACATGTAGATCACCCACAATACTAACACATGCACTTTGTTGGTTAAATAAAAACAAAAGTATATTACCTGACATTATCCGGGGCTAATATCTGAAATTTAACCCACTTTGAGTTCAAATAAAATCTTTTTAAAGCAGTAACCCCTTAGAACTTCTTCATCTGGAGCTATTTCATATAAGAGATCCTGTTAGATTTGTTTTTCATGTCTAACACCCCTACTACCCTAACTCAGGATGCAACAGAGACTCTGCATTCCTGCTGGGAAACATCACCCCTATGAATAGTATACTGTGTGTCCCTACTGTGAGGCTGTAAAATTGATAATAGATGGTATGAACAATTTATTTTAAAAGAGTGTCTGTGATATCTAACTACTTCCCTGAAATAACTAACATACATACACACTTCCAATAAAACTTTTCTGCATGGTCTAACATAAAGTATATTTCATTGCTATTGTCCTTAAAAAATAATTTACCTCAGACTAAACTCATTAAAATGAATAATTTAAAAGTATGTGCATTTACACAAGACTTGTTGGATAAACTCATTAGAAGAAAATGTTCAAGAACAAAGAAGCACAATCTTTGTTAATGCTACTAATTTATTATGTCCCTAATTTAAGAGCAATTTTAAACAAAAATAGTTATCAAGTAAAGTCATTTAAACTGATACAATTAGAAATAGCTGAGGGGGTAAAAGAGCATTTTGAATATCCTATGTATGGCATATCCTGTATAGTAATTTGAGGTCAGAGTATTGGTATTTTTGTATAATTTTATCTTGTGCATCAGCTGTGTATTTTATGTCAAGGTAAATAAGCATCCTGTTTTATATGTTGAATAAAAAAATGACTCAAAGAAAAATGTGATTGCTGTGATTTTAAGTATACAAGTTTGTCCAAAATTAATATGACTTCTTCCAAAGCTCCAACTTTTTTAGCTGTTTAGAACTTTTTCACCTTAATACTCTAAGAGGAAAAAACAGAAGAGCAAATTAAGTCTGTCTGTGGTGTTTCCTGTACAAGAGACAGTAGTGAGCTTGGTCTCTTGCAAACTCAACAAAACCACAAATCTATATTTCGACATATCTTCTAATGAGCTGTTTTAATAATAAATTGTCTACTGTATAATAATAGATTGGACCACAGGATATAGAAAGAAAAACCAGCTCCCCTTCACTGTCTCTTACTATATACTCACAACTTTTGTGACCTTAAAAGGCACAGGGATTTCTCATCACCAAGTGGGCAATTCTACAGCTATGGCTGCCCACTAATCCTGTATAGTTCCTTTGTTATCTACCTGCAGGTGGTGTCAGATCCCACAGTATTAGTGCCTAGACTCCAACAGTCTCATTCTATAAATGGTAGCTCTAAGCCCCTGG